TTTTTTTTACTACGGTTCTGTGGGCGTGGCTTATTTTGTGGGCGTGGCTTGATGGTCATGTGACAATTTATTAGGATTTAGCAGAGGTACTGGTCTACCAGGCTTTTAACTGCTTGCAGAGCTATACCAATCTATACCTATCCTATTTTGTTTTTGCAGGCACTGATCTACTCATGTATTTTTGCAGGCACTGATCTACTCATGATTTTTGCAGGCACTGATCTACTCATGTATTTTTGCAGACACTGATCTACCATGTATTTTTGCAGACACTGATCTTCTCATGTATTTTGCAGGCACCGGTCTACTCATGTATTTTTGCAGGCACTGGTCTACCCATTTATTTTTTGCAGGCACTGATCTACTCATGTATTTTTGCAGGCACCAATCTACTCATTTGTTTTCTTTTAACACTAATCAGCTGTAGGAGGCCCTTTGAAGCGCCGCGGCAAGAGTTTAAACAGTTTTTTTCCCTCTAGCCGGGACTAGAGGGACTCAGGAGGCAGCAATAGATTGGGGATGGGGCCAAATAAAAGGTAAGAATAACGCGGGGAGTGGGGGGCACGGGGTGTGTGTGGTGTGTGGGGGGGGGGGGCAGAACTGGTTCGTTGACATCATATCGTCACCGCTACCGGCTCAGGAGAACTGGGCCGAACCGGAGGAACCCACCACTGACTTGTACATAAACAGAGAGCAAAGCCCCTCCCTTCTAATACTGATGACGTTACCTAGTTGGGTAATGAAACGTTTGCAAGAGAAGAACCAAGCTCAAGACAGCACCAAGGATCCCACAACTTCCATACCACAATCAAGAAAAACTACACAGATGTGTTCAGGGAGGCATGAGGAATGACGCTTGAATTGAATGACACTTTAAGATAATAGTATTAGTACACATCCAGAGTCTTTCAATGGAGTTTTGTCCAGATAACTAGAGTTCGTGCAGAATCACTTCTAGATGTACATTTCGAACTTCACCGGATCAGGCTGTGGGAAGCTGATCAAGATAACCCCCTGTCCAAATATGAAACAAGCCAAACTTGATCAAGCTTCAACCCCTACAGGCTTTCCACCTTTCTTCATTATCTAAAATTAATGATCTTGCCTGAGGTGACATCTCTACTTTATTTTACATATGACCTTGGCGAAAGACGTCATTCTTTGAAGGATGGAGCTGAGAGTTTTCTCCTGATCTGTGGTCCTTGGGTCACTTCATCCCTACCCATTCATTAGCAGCACTTTATGCTGGATGCCTCAATTTGGTCTCCAACTCTCCCTTCAAGGTTCAAAGGAACAACTTTGTTATTCTGAGTAAAAAGGGCACATTTTCAAGCAAGGTCTCCAACGAAGCTCCCCCGCTCAACTCCTAAGACTTGGCTCTGACGGGCGAACGTGCCTCAGTTGGCACCAAAAGTGAACGGAATAATAAAAAAAGGAATAAAACAGAATAAACTCTTGATTTATCCACGTCTTCTACTGTGTTCCCTTTAGAAACTAATCCTTTCCATTTCTTTTTTAAAACCTCAGTTTTCTTTTTTAATTCACAGCTTTTCCTCCTACAAAAAGAGGATCGAGCGAGACTAAAAGCAACTTGGGGTTTTTCAGCGTTTTGTGTGAGGAAAAAAACCGGCGTATTAATTCTCCTTTGAATGCAAGCAGGCGATTCGTTTACAATGAAGTTTGCTAATCGCTCAAGAAAAAAAAAGAGCACTTAAAATCTAATTGTCTGAGACTTTCTCGAGGTACTGAAAGAAAGGCAGGTATATTTGTTCAAACAAACAAACAAACTGTAGGCTTGGAACAGGATATTTATTCCAGTGACAATTTTGAAATATTTGCATTGTTTCTCTGTTGATCAACTAACTGGAGATGGGTATTTGGGACTCAGTTTTCCCAGAAAAGAACGCAATTCCTTAAGGCGCCTTTTGGCTAGAGTGAATTATTCCTTTCCTCCTCTCTTTGATCTTCTCTAGACATGCAAAAAAAAAAAAAAACTTCAGAGGAATAAATAGGATTAAAAGGTGAAATGATTAATTAACCCCCTGTCCCTCAAGGGGGAATAAACATCTGAAACAATAACAAATAATTATACTGATAATAAGTGTTATTTGCTATGCAGGGCTAACAAAAGGCAAGGGCAAAAACAATGGAAGACCTCACCATTTTTTTTTTGCTAGGAAAAAAATAATAATAAGGTGGTTAAATGTAACTAAGATAGCCAGTTTGGTGTAGTGGTTAGGGCAGGGGTCGGCAACCTGCGGCTCTGGAGCCGCATGTGGCTCTTTCATCCCTCTGCTGCGGCTCCCTGTTGCTGGTCGGCTCCACAATTGATAGGGCTTTCGGTTAGGACAGGTAGAGGAAAAAGAATGCCGTGCTAGGAGGAGACTCTATGGTGGGGAATCGGACTTCCGTCAGCAGAGGAAAACGGACACTGTGCTAGGAGGAGACTATGATGGGGGAACCGGATTTCCGGTTGGTTCCAGAATTGAACAGGGGCTTCCGGTTAGGACCTTTGTGGCTCTTTGAGTGTTTAAGGTTGCCGACCCCTGGGTTAGGGAATCAGGCTAGAAACTGGAAGACTATGAGTTCTAGTTCTGCCTTAGGCACAAAGCCAGCTGGGTGACATTGGTCAATCACCAGGAGTCTGTGAATTCTAGTCTCATCTTAGGTATGAAAACTGCCTGGGGGATTTTGAGACCATCACCAAGAGGCAGTAAGTTCTAGTCCCACCTTAGATATGAAAGCCAGCTGGGTGATTTTGGGCCAATCGCTAGGAGATGGTGAGTTCTAGTTCTACCTTAGGCATAAAAGCCAAAGGAGGAGGCTAAGGCCTATCACTTCTGAGGTGGGTTGGGGGAAATACCTTGCCAAGAAAACTGCAAGGACTAAACTAAGAAGTTGCAGAGTCAAAGACTAACTCAAAGGCACCCTCTCCCGAAAAATAGATAAAAGAAAGAAAGAAAAAGGAAGTACCATATCAGTACGTAAAAGGTAAAGGTAAAGGTTCCCCTCGAATATATGTGCTAGTCGTTCCCGACTCCAGGGGGCGGTGCTCATCTCCGTTTCAAAGCCGAAGAGCCAGCGCTGTCCGAAGACGTTTCCGTGGTCATGTGGCCGGCATGACTAAATACCAAAGGTGCACGGAACGCTGTTACCTTCCCACCAAAGATGGTCCCTATTTTTCTACTTGCATTTTTACGTGCTTTCGAACTGCTAGGTTGGCAGAAGCTGGGACAAGGAACGGGAGCTCACCCTGTTAGGCGGCACTAGGGACTCGAACCGCTGAACTGCCGACCTTTCAATCAACAAGCTCAGCATCTTAGGCACTGAGCCACCGTGTCTCTGCATATCAGTAAGTACCATCTCCCAAAGCATCAGCTTAAGTGCCTTAGCTTATCACTACCACTAGAAGGGCATACTTTGTGCCAACCCATAGTAAGCATGCACTGGTCTCACCCATTAGCTGGAGGCAGAAGACCTCTGTCTTTATGATGGATTTGTGTTTATGTGGAGGTTGTGTATGTGGCAAACCACCTTGAGAATCCTTTATCAGAGAATGGCAGTAGACAACTCCTTCTCCAAAGAAGCATATTTCCTAAGCCACACGTGATTCCCACTGAATTCAACGAGGATAAAAAAATGTCCCACATTTTTCAAACTTCACCTTCAGAATTGGTTTACTTATGGTCTGATAGAACCTCCTCCTTCACACAAGAACATGCATTCTTGTAGTTGCCTGGAGCAATTCTCAACTGGCGTGGAGGAAAAAGCTTTTATTCCCTCAAAGCAATGTTGTCGGGTAGCACTCTATGAAAATTTCTATAGTTATCACCTTTAAGTTCAGCTTGTGGAAAAACCAGTATGTTGCTGGTGATCAGCACCATCATCATAACCATAATCAGCGATACTTACTGATCATATCCATATTTGCAGTTCACATTTCAATAGGTGGATAATGTCTTTTTTTTTGACGATGGCCTACAGAATGCTAATGGACACGATGTGTCGCACATGCCTTGAGTCAAGCTACGTGTCATTCACATGACTAGGTGAAGATTTTGCTGATCCTTATCATCTGTAAAAGAGCAGGCGGAGCTGTGGGTGGAGTTAAGTGTGTCATCAGCTTAGAGTCATTAAGTTGCCACAAACGGCCCAAGTTCACCCTCTTCCTTGAATTCCGTTGATTCTTTATCTGGCGCCGATTCAGGGTTGAACTTTATTGGACTAGATTCTTTTGAACGGGCTTGAGCAATCAATCTTCTGACCTGAAACTTAACCTAAGGTCCCGATCCTTTGTGCCCGACATTCATCAAGTCAACTGAAGTTCGAATTTGAATCTGTGCCAGATAAAGAATCAACGGAATTTAAGGCGTGTGTGTGTGTGTGGATTTGCATTGCTTGTGGCAACTTAATGACTCCAAACTGATGATGCACATAACTCCGCCTCCAGCTCTCCCTGCTTTTTTCCTACAAAATCTGGTTTATAGAACAAATTGGGGGCAGAACTAATAGAAGCCGCCCTATCTGAATAACTAAATCCAACAGTCGCTATAACATATGGATGGGAGAATAAACACATGAGTAAAATACACCCACAATTTTTAAAAAAATGCCTTGCATCTTTCCGTTAAAACATATTGCACCCACCGTTAAAACATGCCCTACATTTTTTAATATTAAGTTGTTAATATTGGACTTAACTTCAGTCCTTAAGTTTCTTCAACAAACATTTTGGCCTGCTCGGGAACAGCCTCCTGCCATAAATATAGATTCTTCATTTAAATGTTGGGATTATTAACCAACATTAATTAATACGTGTTTCAAGTCCAAAGCGATGCTTTGAAACCCAAAACAAGGCCCACTGAGACTCCCAGCAATTTGAAATCACACCACCGCTACGGATTCAAGTCAATCCCTCCTCTAAGTAGCGCGCCCTACAACTGCGTCCGTTTTACAACTTGCACGGAAAGGCATAGTTTAGAAACAAGGGTTTTACTCACCATGGAGGAGTCCCCACTTCCGTTTGCAACCGTAGCGCCTTCAGCACAGGTGGGTAGGTGGGTAGAAAGTTGACTAGCCCTGCCCCCATCTATGACATCACACTCTACCTCATAAAAGGTAGTGAAAGTGCTTTGAACTCCAGGCTGATTTCCGAGAGATACAGAAAAGAAAGAGTGAGACAGAGAGAGAGAGAGAGAGAGAGCAAGAGAAATATGGTGCCCTATTGTAGGAGGTAGGAGATCAGGCCCGGGAAGGGGAATAGGAAATGGAAGGGGAAATGGAAGGGGAAGGGGAAGAGAAATGGAAGGGGAATAGGAAATGAAGGGGAAAGGGAAGGGAAGGGGAAGAGGAAATGGAAGGGGAATAGGAAATGGAAGGGGAAGAGGAATGAAGGAGAAGAGGAAATGGAAGGGGAAGGGAAGAGGAAATGGAAGGGAAGAGAAAATGGAAGGGGAAGGGGAAGGAAATGGAAGGGGAAGGGGAAATGGAAGGGGAAGGAAGAGAAAATGGAAGGGGAAGGGAAGAGGAAATGGAAGGGGAAGGGAAGGGAAATGGAAGGGGGGAAGAGGAAATGGAAGGGGAAGAGAAAATGAAGGGGAATAGGAAATGGAAGGGGAAAGGGAAGGGGAAGGGGAAGAGGAAATGGAAGGGGAAGGGGAAATGGAAGGGGAAGGGAAGAGAAAATGGAAGGAAGGGGAAGAGGAAATGAAGGAGAAGAGGAAATGGAAGGGGAAGGGAAGAGGAAATGAAGGGGAAGAGAAATGGAAGGGGAAGGGGAAGGGAAAATGGAAGGGGAAGAGAAAATGGAAGGGGAGGGAAGAGGAAATGGAAGGGAAGAAGAGGAAATGGAAGGGGAAGGAAGAGGAAATGGAAGGGGAAGGGAAGAGGAAATGGAAGGGGAAGGGAAGAGGAAATGGAAGGGAAGAGAAAATGGAAGGGAAGAGAAAATGGAAGGGGAATAGAAATGGAAGGGGAAGGGAAGAGAAATGGAAGGGGAAGGGAAATGGAAGAGGGAAGGGAAGAGAAAATGGAAGGGGAAGGGAAAGGAAGGAAGGGAAGGGAAGAGAAATGGAAGGGGAAGGGGAAATGGAAGGGGGAAGAGGAAATGGAAGGGAGAGAAAATGGAAGGGGAAGATGGAAGGGAATGGAAGGAGGAAGGATGGAAGGGAAGAGGAAATGGGAAGGGGAAGAGGAAATGGAAGGGGAAGAGAAAATGGGGAAGTGGAAATGGAAGGGAAGAATGGAAGGGAAGGGATGAGGAAGGGAAGGAGGGAATGGAAGGGGAAGGGGAAGGGAAGGGGAAGGGTGGAAGGAAGGGAAAGGGAAGGGGAATGGAAGGGGAAATGGAGGGAGGGGAAGGGAAGGGGAATGGAAGGGAAATGGAAGGGGAAGGGGAAATGGAAGGGGAAGGGGAAGGGGAAATGGAAGGGGAAGGGGGGAAGGGGAAGGGGAAGAGAATGGATGGAAGGGGAAAGGAAATGGGGAGAGGAATGGGGAAGGGGAAATGGAAGGGGGAAGGGGAAATGGAGAGGGGAAGGAAGGGGAAGGGAAGGGGTTGGGGAAATGGGAAGGGGAAAGGGAAGGGGAAAGGGAAGGGGAAATGGAAGGGGAAAGGGAAGAGGAAATGGAAGGGGAAAGGGAAGAGGAAATGGAAGGGGAAGACAAGGTTGTGTACTGAAAGAGCTAGGCTCCACAACTTTTCAGGGGCTTCCATGGTGAATTACTCTGTTTTAGCAATGTTCTTCCTTGCTCCCTGAGCACAGGCATATCAAGTCCAAGATCACTTATGAGAAAGGCGAGTGACGGGAATGATGGGCTGGGGAGTACAGGTAGTCCTCGACTTCCAACAGTTTGTTTAGTGACCGTGTGGAGTTATGACGGCACTGGAAAAAGTGACTTTTGGCCGTTTTTCACCCTTGTGACCTTTGACACGTGATTTACATTCGGATGCTTGACAACTGACTCATATTTATGACGGTTGCAGTGTCCCGGGGGGGGGGCAGGGGGTTGTCACATGACCCCCCCTTTTGCAACCTTCTGACAAGCAAAGTCCGTGGGGAAGCCCGATTCACTTAACAACTGTGTTATTAACTTAACCACTGGAGTGATTCACTTAACAACTGTGGCACGATGGGGCAAGACAAATTTCTCACTCGGCAACATAAATGTTGAGCTCAACCGTGGACGTAAGTTGAGGACTATCTGTAGTCCTCGACTTAATGGTTGTAAGTCGAGGACTACAGATAGTCCTCGATTTACAACAGACTTACAACCATTCATTTAGCAACCGTTTGACGTTACAAAGGTGCTGAAAAACAGGGATTTTCAATCAGTCCTCGCACTTACGGCCATCGCAGTATCCTCATGGTCACTGATCAAAAATCGGGCGCTGGGCAGCTGGTGGTTATTTACAACACTTGCAGCATGCCAGGGCCATGTGATTGCCACCTGCAGGCTTCTCAGCCGGCTCCCAACAAGCCAGGTTAAGGGGGGAAGAAACCAGATTCGCTTCAACGACCATGTGATTCACTTAACAACTGTGGCAACAAAAGTTGTAAAATTGGGCGCCATTCACTGAACTTGCTTGCTTAGCAAGAGAAATTCTGTTCCCATTTCTGGTCGTAAGTCGAGGACTATCTGTATTTTATTCATCTAAAAAGGGCCGCAATTCTACAATGAACGATCATCGTCTGTTTCCCCTAACTCAGGAGAAAAAACTGGTCTTGCCTCCTTCTGTCTATCTCTCTGAGGGAGGGGACCGATTTAAAAATGTGGCAAATAAATAAATAAATAAATAATTTTCCGTGAAGCAACATATGGCGTCTTCACACTTCACCCATCAGCCATCAATGAATGACGTGACTGAAAGCTTGACTGCATGACTGTTATTTTAGCTCAATCACGGTTGGGTGAATCTGGAAAATATTACAGATCCAAAAAAGGACCTGAAGCAACTTTTGCATGTGAATTCATTTGGAAGGGGGAAAAAAAAAGCTTATCTTCCGTTCCGGTCCATATGATTTGAGATTTGGGTTGGTGATAAGATCTCAAGGTCTGTTTAATCAGGATAAAGGAAGATACAATCTCTCTCCCGTTCTCCCTTTTAATTCCAGCTCCGTAGATCTTATTGTAACGTGATGGCTTCAAATCTTTTATACTCGGCATGATTTCTTAACTCCGTTTAAGGCTGGTGTGCGGAGGAGATCTTTGGTGTTCTCTGAGCTTGGTGGTTTTCTTGCAGGCGTTTCATTACCAAACTAGGAAACATCATCAGTGTTAGAAGGGAATGGGCTTATTAAAGAGGAGGAGGAGGAGGAGGAGGAGGAGGAGGAGGAGGAGGAGGAGGGAGGAGGAGGAGTGTGGGATCTTTAGTGTTCTCTGATCATGGTGATTTTCTTGCAGACATTCCATTACCAAACTAGGAAACTTCATCAGTGTTAGAAAGGAGTGGGCTTTTTAAAGAGCAGGAGGAGGAGGAGGAGGAGGAGGAGGAGGAGGAGGAGGAGGAGGAGGACGAGGACGACGAGGACGACTGTGGGGTCTTTAGTGTTCTCTGATCATGGGGATTTTCTTGCAAACATCTCATTACCAAACTAGGCAACATCATCAGTGTTAGAAGGGAGTGGGCTTTTTAAAGAGGAAGAGGAGGAGGAGGAGGAGGAGGAGGAGGAGGAGGAGGGGAGGAGGAGGAGGAGGAGGAGGAGGAGGAGGAGGAGAACGACTGTGGGGTCTTTGGTGTTCTCTGATCATGGTGATTTTCTTACAGACATTTCATTACCAAACTAGGCAACATCATCAGTATTATGATGTTCCTTTTCTTTTCTTTATTTCTTTATGAAATTTCTTTGCTGCCCATCTCATATCCAACAACTCTGAGTGGCTTACAACCCAAAAACACTGAAAAACATTAAAAGCATCCATTGTAAAAACAAAACAAAAACACAACAGGTAAAAACATTAACAGATAAAATCATGGAGACAAGAAGACGACAATGATGCTACCTAGTTTGGTAATGAAATGTGTGCCAAAAAACTCCCCTCCCCCCCCCAGAATAATAGAACAGAATTGAAAGGGGTCTTGGAGGCCTTCTAGTCCAGCCCTCTGCTCAAGCATTTCAAACAAATGGCTGTCCGATTTCTTCTTAAAAATCTCCAGTGATGGAGCACCCACAACTTCAGGTGGCAAGCTGTTCCAATGGTTAATTATTCTCCACCATGTTAAAGAGCACCAAGGACCCCACAGTTCAACCTTGAGCTACAAATATTTTCTTTTTAATCGGTGTGCATTTGCATGCAGGCCTGCGTGTTAGAACTAAATAGAATTTGTTGATGAGAAAGCTGGAGAAATGCTTGATAATCAATCACTTCGAGCTAACTGATGGCAGCAGGGGAAAACGGAGAATCTTCCTCCTCGCCAACAGTGATGGGTTATGTGATGCTTACCCCGAGAACCTTTCTAAAACTGATGTATGGATATTGCTAGGCTGTGCTGAGGGAGTAAGTGAACGGAATCGGCTGATTTACAAAGCACACTTGAAACATGAGATGTCAACATATGGAGACATGGGTGATCAATCTTCCCAAGCCTGCCAGATCAGTCCAGTGTCATCTTACCAGAAGGAAAACATCTTTTCACAAGAAATATATTTTTATATATATATATAAGGCCTAATAAACTCAAACGAAGTTAGCAAATATTTGATCTCTAAATTTCCTTTAACAGAAATGAGATTGCACAGCTGCAGCTAGTTAGATTCTGGTTTTCTGGATAGCACCAGAAGAAAGAAAGAAAAAAAGAAAAAAATAACATTAAGGGGGAGGTGGAAAGGAAGGGGGGAAATTAAGAGTTATTAAGAGTATTAGTGTTATAATCCCGAAGTTTTTATTTTCGCTTGGTGGGCAATTCATCACGAATTTCATTTTATTCATCTACTACACGACTTAAGGTTGTTTTTACTTCCTCTAGGGAATTCGTGAGTCAAAGAAGTTTCTGTTACAAAAAAAGATGCATCTGTGGATCTCTAGGGACATAGCGCTGGATAATGTTCCCTATGATTTCTGATTATTTGTTTCAGTATTTAGAGCTGCCCACCCATGGTTTATAAAAAAAGTGTTCCTGTAATAAAAGATGTTCTTTGCTTTTGGATATTAAGTCTACATTTTAGGACCTGTTTTACTTTTAAATATTGAGCTGCGCTGAACAATTCTAGGAGCAACAATGAGTAATAACAATTTATGAAACGTGTATGCCACTCAACTTTTCAATGATTTTGAGTGGCTAATAAGAATAATGTAATATTTTGCACATATTCATTGCGAAGTCACATTAGGCTTCCTTTCTAAAAAAAAAAAAATACCAGTGGGCAAATCATTTATTACATTCCATTTATGCCTTCTTGGCAAGGTAATAATTTTGGTCCACGATCCATTTTTTCCCCCAATAGATCATTTTTATTCTTTTAAGAGAATACTAAACGTAAGATGTGGCTTAATGAGCTGATTATTCAATCAGACATTACAACTGAATGAACGGAATAATATTTTAAAAGTTGCGTTGACTTATCTCCTCTACTACTAAAACTGTTTTATCCATTTTATCGTGCCATTTGATTTTTATGGCTTATTTCATGAACTGGCTCAGATATAGTCAATTAATCAATGAGTTATTGCAAAAGGTTTCAGTTAGTTCGATTGGAATCCGTACCTCTTCAGGGATTTCTAAAGAACTGGGGCTGGGTTGTAGTTTTAGCGAAGCAGTTATTGTTTGATTGATTGTAGAATTTATTTCCTTATTGATATGAATTCCTGCTTGTATTTTCCTAAAAAGATGTGTATAACACCTGTTAAAAGCAACCAAATTTAGTAGTTTTACAGTACAGAATTTAAAAGAGTACCGTAGGAGAACAGGCAGAGCCTATGGGGGTGGAGTCAAGGGAGTAATCAGTCTGGAGTCACAAAGGATCTTAAGTCCAACTCCTCTTGAATTCCATTAACTCTTATTTAGTGCCAATTTAGCGTCGATCATTAGTTGACTAAATTCTTGTGTATAGGCATGAGCAATAAATCAGTTTAACTGCAGCTTCACTTGTGGTCCTGATTCTATCTTACCTAAGTAGAATAACATGCATGCATTTAAGTGTACTGTGTATATTAATGAGAAATACCATGGATTCTGATGATTAGTAATAATTTTACATGTCACAACACCTAAGCCTTAGTTAACGGGAGCAGGGAAGAAGACTACATTTCAGCCTGTATATAGGTAGTCCTCGACTTACAACAGTTCATTTAGTGACAGTTCAAAGTTACAATGCCGCCAAAAAAAGGGACTTGTGACTGTTTTTCACACTTACAACTACCGGTTTGCCCCGGTTCGGGCGAACTAATTGTGGCGGCGTCGGGAGTGAGCGCGCACGGACTCCCAGTTCCGAACTGGTAGCAAAGGTAAGTGGGAACCCACTACTGGTTCAATTGTGATCATAAGTCGAGGACTACCTGTATGGAAAATAGACATTTACATGTAAAAAAGGAAATGCATATTATGAGGAACGCTCAAATGCAACAGGGTGACTGATCTTTTTAAAAGAATGTGGACTTTCTGGTTTAATTTTTTTGGGGGGGCAGGGGTTGCAATTTGATTTTGGTTTTGTCAGTAGTTGATATTTGTCCTAGACCTTAAGAACTGATAACTGCTTCTGTCATTTTAATACAAATTAGTGAGTTAAACGGTAAAGGTTGTAACGTATAGGTAGTCCTTGGCTTACAATCGTGATCAGAATTTCCGTTGAGCTGAACAAGCCAGTTATTAAGTGAGTCGCATCCAATTTTACAGCCCCTTTTGCCCCTGTCGTTAAGTGAATCGCTTGAGGTTGTTAATCAGGTGGCCCTTAAACAAAGGCGGTTTCCTCCATTGGCTGGCTGGGGAAGGTTATCAATGGTGATCACGAGATCATGGGATGCTGCAACTATCATAAATGTGAGGACTGATTGTAGCTCACTTTTTTCCAGTGCCGTTGTTAACTTCGAACGTTCGCTAAATGAATGGTTGTAAACCGAGGACTGCCTGAATGAGCCATTCCTTACTTAGGCTGCTGGAGTCGGAAAGGTGTCCCAAACATGGAGGAAAGGTTTGAAGCAATGGCGTTTTTATTTCTTTTCTTTTTTTCCTCGTAGGGAGCCTTAAAAAGAAGGACGTTTCTTTACCCATGAAAGAACATTAATACGTCAAAAGCCTTGAGCAAGTATTACAGGCGGAAGAATAACTTGCGAGACCTAGTTTAATGCTTGGTTTGAATAGGAAATGATGGATAGTGAAATTTCTGAACTTAGTGGAAACTTAACTTTCTGAACTTTAAAAAAATAAAATAAAAATTGAATCGCTGATTTGGCTATAACAAAAAAACTTCACAAGCAGCACCTTTCCAGGATTTTAATGCGGATGTTCCTTTTTGGATGTAAAAGAATGTTTAAAAAAACTCTCATCCAGAAATTTCTTGAAGAAGAATCTGAGACAATAAAATGAAAGATGTAAAGGAAAGATCTGAAATGGTTTCAATGCTACTTCGCAATGATAAAGCTGCATTTGACATTTTTTTGGAATTAGGATATCGCACAGATGTTTCTCAAGACGCAGGATGGGTTTTAAGCAAAATAAGAAATGTAAGAGTTAAGATTTGGGGAGTGAGAGATATAGCCAATAATTGAAAAGTCGAAAGAGACAATTAGAGAGAGAAGAGATGTATATGATAACCCAATGTAAAACAAAAACTATCAGGATGACTATAGGGAACTCTGCATAGAATTCTATCAATAAATAATCTGAGTAAATAAGTAAGAAAGCAGAAGTTTTCTCAGAAAGGAAGTAGAAATAACAAAGAAAGAGATTTCCTCCTAGATTTTCCAACAATGAAATTTATACAAATGACGAAGACCTGTAATTTAAAACAAGGTGGAATGTAAATAAAACCATTCATATTTTTTATATCTAGAATCTCCAGCCATTACTGGTTCTGTTATGATTGCATATGAAGTAATTTCTTCTGGAGTAAAATTATGGGATAAAGGCTGGAGGGAAAATCAGTGTTTGCTTTGACAATTGCCCTTAAAGAGAATCGTAATTGTATTAACTGTGTCCCTGAAGAAAGGAAGAAGGAATACATATTTTTGTGTGGAAAAAAAAATTCACCCTATGAATGTAGCAATGCATTTAAAGACAGCAATGTTTGAAAGTGTTAAAAGAAGTCTGAAGCGCATCTTACTCTAAAGGTGCCAATGAAGATATTCAGAACACAGGGGAAAAAAAAATCATTTCAATAAAATATGTGTTTTTTTCCCCCTCTCTCCAGGGGGAGAGAGCATTTGTTCACGGAAGTTATGAAAATCCCCATTTTTCACAATCGAAAGATAAACTCCAGGAACCCATACAATATCAACCAAAATATTCATAAAAGAAATTATAAAATAGATATTTTATATTTATCAGCAGTTTATACTTATTCCATGTTGACTCCAGTTTATGAACTCTGTCACAGAATCTATTGCTGAACAATTGCCAGTTTGGTCTAATGGTTAAGGCAACAGGTTAGAAAACAGGAGACTGGGAGTTCTAGTCCCATTTTTAGGCATGAAAACCAGCTGGTGACTTTAGGCCTGTCATCAGAAGACAGTGAGTTCTAGTCCCGCCTTAGGCGTGAAAGCCAGCTGGTGACTTTGGGCCAATCACCAGGAGATGGTGAGTTCTAATCCCGCTTTGGGCATGAAAGCCCAAAATTCTAATCCTGCTTTGAGCCAGTCACTCTTTCTGTCTCAGCCAAACTCCCCTCACAAGGTGGTTGTCGAGAAAATAGGACGAAGAATATTAAGTATATTCAGCACCTTGAGTTATTATACAAATAAAAAGGTGGGATAAAATAATCTTTTAAAAAAGCTCCCATTACTATGATAAATGGATTTAGCAGAATCTGGCTGCTAATATCTATAGTCTATTGATTAATCTGACTATTATAATAGAATCTTATATCATCTCATTTCCTGGGCTATATCAGAATATTTCCACGTGCATCAAGTTTTTTTCTCAAACCTGCCACAACTTCAGCGTACCTAACGAAATGACCACTAGTCATTTCCCACATGAGCCGTGGTAGTGCAGTGGTTAGAACGCAGTATCGCAGGCTGACTCTGCTCACTGCCAGCAGTTCGATCCTGACGGGCTCAAGGTTGACTCAGCCTTCTATCCTTCCAAGGTCGGTAAAATGAGGAGCCAAATTGTTGGGGGCAATTATGCTGACCGGTGTAAACCGGTTAGAGAGGACTGTGAAGCACTGTGGAGAAGTATATAAGTCTAAGTGCTATTGCTCTTGATGTCATGATATCTATCTGGTTCAAGCAGTACTTTGAGATTTGTTCATTTCTTTTTTAAAAAAAAATCCACAGAGAACAAATTGTTCTCTAGAAGTCATCTCAAGACATTTTTCTGCTCGGGGCAAAAGAAGTCCATTCCAATATGAAGTTGATTGGTGGTTAAAACTTATTTTAACGGATAGCATCGTCCTCTCTATCACTGCATCATCTTCTATACATCATGGGCATCTCGACAAGCCAACAACACTTGCCGAATAATCCCCATCCTGCCGTTGACTTGCTTATCAAATTATTGTGCCGGCCTCTCCTGAATAATAGTCCAGGCAACCTAGACCTAAATTAATAGTTCGGGGGCACATAAGTCTCCCGTAGTTCAAAAGGAGATCAATCTCTGTGAACATAGTGAGAAAATGCTTGCCAGAAGCTCAAAAGTTGCCCCTGCTCCTTTCTGTAGTAGTACTAATGGACAACAAAGGATCCCACCGTCAAGCGAAGTTAACATATGCAACACACTTTGCTGTCAGAACACATTGGAAATAATTCTGTGTGATGAGCATGTCACGATAATACCCACCCGCTCCCATTTTTGCTTCATTGTTAAGAGGCCGCAATCTGCACAGGCGGCAAAGTGTAAGTCTATTGTCTTGTTCTAAAGTAAAACGGTTTTTAACAATTGTGGGTAAAAGTAACCAGCAACCAGCAACAGCTCCCCATCGCCCGGTGCATTCTCACAGGGAGGGCCTACTCAGGGTGCCGTCGGCTAGACGGTGTCGACTGGCGATCCGTAGAGGCAGAGCTTTCTCTGTGGGTGCTCCCACCCTCTGGAACCAACTTCCTCTGGGGCTCTGGTTGGCCCCTGACCTCCGCACCTTCCGCCGTGACTTAAAGACATGGTTGTTCAGCCTGGACTGGGGGGGGGGCGTTTAACATTTATTTTAACACACTTTTATTGGATATTTTATTGTTGTGAGCAGCCCTGAGTCCTATGGAGATAGGGCGGCATATAAATTAAATTAAATAAATTAATTAATTAATAAAAAGTAAAGTCTTGGTAAATAATATTCCATTTAGGTAAAGACACAACTACTTAGCTGTAAATGGTCCAAGAAAGTCAACCATCAAATATCTATATCAGTGTTGGCGAATCTTTTTGGCACCGAGTGCCGAAACAAGAGTGTGTACACATGGGAGCGCCAGAAACCGGAAGAGCAGTTCCCCGGAGCACATGCACGCTCCGGGAAGCTGAGCTTCCAGTTTCTGGCGTGCGCACGCACGCTGGTCACCTGGTCTTCTGGCACGCATGTACGTGCAAAGACCAGCTGGTGGGTGTACATGTACACGCCGGAAACTAAAAGCTTATCTTCCTACGCATGTGAAGATTGGCTGGCCGGCGCACATAAGCACGCTGGAACCTGGAAGAGCAACGGGTGATGGCTGGCATGCCCGGAGAGATGGCGCTGCATGCCACTTCCTGCACATGTGCCATAGGTTCACCATCACAGATCTATATCTTTCTCTCTTTTTCTTTCTTTCTCTTTCTCTCTCTCTCTATCATCCGTCTATCATCTATCTATCTATCTATCTATCTATCTATCTATCTATCTATCTAGTTTCTGTCTTTTGACCCCCCCAGTCACATGACCACCACCAAGCCACGCCCACCAAGCCACGCCCACAGAACCAGTAGGAAATTTTTTTAGATTTCACCATTGCCTAAAGTGCTTTGGAGAGTTAAGCCTACCCTCTCTTCTCTGTAATAGCCTCTTAAGTACTGGAAGAAAGTTCTCCTGTTATCCATAATCCTTCGGTTCAATAGGCGAGAGCCATACCTAGTTTCCTCAACAGTTCATCATACGATTTAGCCTCCAGCCCTATCATCTTTATTGCTCTTCTCCGCCTACTTTCCGGGGTCTCAACATCTTTTTTGTATTGCAGTGATGAAAACTGGATACTGTATTGCCAAATAATACATGCCAAGACAAACGTATAGACGTAATTTCCGTCACAAGTGCATATCGCCAAACCTATTGAATCCCGCTCGGTTCTGAATTATGGAGGCTTCTCAATAGAGTTTAGCCTTGAGGATTTGTTTGATGTCAGAAAAGACCATGTTTCTATCTAACAGGTACAGAAGATAGAACAGATTAACAAAGTTGGAAGGGATTGACTGTCTTCTAGTCTAAGCCCCTGCTCAACCAGGAAATCCTATATCATTTCAGACAAATGGTTGTCCAATCTCTTCTTAAAAACCTCAGGTGATGGAGCACCCATAACTTCTAGAGGCAGGTCATTCCACTGATGAATTGTTCTCACTTTCAGGAAATTTCTCCTTAGTTCTAAGTTGCTTCTCTCCTTGATAAGTTTCCATTCATTGCTTCTTGTCCTGCCTTCAGGTGCTTTGGAGAAGAGGTTGACCCCTCTTCTTTGTGGCAGCCCCTTAAATATCAGAAGACAGCTGTCATGTCACCCCTAAGTCGTCCTTTTCATTAAACTAGTTATACCCAATTTCTGTAACGGTTCTTCGTAGGTTTTAGTCCTCAGTCCCCTAATCATCTTTGTTGCTCTTCTCTGCACTCTTTTTAGAGTCTCAACATCTTTTTTTTTTTAATATCATGGCAACCAATACTGGATGCAATACTTAACAAAATCCTGAACCAATGGCAGGAAAATATTGCTTTGCATCAAACCCATATTGCTAAGTTCAATACCCCTAAGGAACACTGCAAATATCAAATAATCTATATATATATATACTTTCAGCACACAATCATCAGATAATATGCAAAACATATTCGTTTTCACCAGTGAGTGTGTACCTTATCTCATCGGAGTCCAGGGGTAGAAGCTGGAATCCCAAAAGTGAATATATAAGCTTTCCAACTGTCAATCATTTGCAAGGAAACCCCGAGCACCGTACTGTATGCAAAGTCTGCTTTTTATATCTGATGCAAATAAAATCAAAGTTTTTATTTGCAACTGGCTATCCAAGAGAGAATGGATGAAGAAAGATGAACAGCATAAAAATAAGTAAGGAAGCTACAGATGAAGTGAAGCTGGAATCCATATTATTGGATAGTCTTGAAGCATACAGTATCCGGCTCTTTGATATAATACAACAACATCACAATTGCTAGGAAGGTATTGTGAAGGGAGAGCCTACACCAACACCAGAAAGATCAAGAGAAGACAAGGCCGGGTGGGGTCTTTGCTGAATGCGACTTCAAGTTTACAACACACCATGCCAATTATCTGCAAGTTGATGGCAGCACTGCTTCAGCGGATGGTTGAATGAAGAAAAAGCAGAAAGATGATGGGGTGTGTGTGAAGCAGTGAGTGCTGAAGTCCACTACACAGGGAATGAAGAAGGCAAACTTCGTGCTGTTTTGAGTTTCACTGCATGTAATGGTTAAGCCAACAACATACACAAGCTATTCGAGCGTGTGCGCAAGGTGGCTTCTACAGAAGATAACAAGAAAAAAAGGACAGAAATGAGATTGAAGCTCCACAGCCAAGCCGATGCGTAAGCGGGATTGAGGGACGGATCAGAGGGTAGGTGGACATGGTTAAAACCCATGAGAATGGAAGCAGATCCAGCAATGTCAGCAAGTCAAAGAAATGATCTTGGCCTGTTATATATAATGAGAGATGGGAGGGCAACGGAGACTCATTTCCACATCTTGAAGAACATCAAGATCTTCAATGGACACTATCTGGCACAGTGGTCAAGAAATTTTGCAGGATCAGGAGGAACTCTTTCCCCCACAAGGACCCCCGGACAAAAATAAATCTTTATTCTGAGTGGCTGTCCAGTTGCATTAGAAGTGTCCATCGTGATCGTTGGGAAGGCGGGTGTGAATGTTTTCCTGCGTGTCTGTGGACTGAGGCCTGGGATCACACACAGACAATCCTCAATTTACGACCACCATTGAGCCCCAAATTTTCTGTTGTTAAACGAGATATTTGTTTAGTGAATTTTGCCCCATTTTACAATCCTTTTTTTGCCGCAGTTGTTTTATTTATTTTATTTTATTTATTTTATTAAATTTTTATACCGCCCTTCTCCCGAAGGACTCAGGGTGGTGTACAGCCAAAAATAAAACCCACGACTATATGAAAGTTAAAAGACAATTTAAAAATATTAAATAATTTGGCCGAAACAGCTAAAATAGAAACCACGCATTAAAATAGCATTTAGGCCAGCCCTGCTTGGTGAAACAATAGCGTTTTGAGGGTGCGGTGAAAGGTGCGAAGGTTGGGGATCCTACGAATCTCCAGGAGCAGCTCATTCCAGAGGGCAGGTGCCCCCACAGAGAAGACTCTCCCCCTGGGGGTCGCCAGTCGACATTGTTTGACCGACGGCACCCTGAGGAGTCCCTCTCTGTGGGAGCGTACTGGTCGATGGGAGGCTATCGGTGGCAGAAGGCGGTCTCGTAAGTACATTAAGTTAGCGATACTGTTGTTAAATGAATTCGGCTTAGCCATTGATTTTGCAACCAAAAAGGTCGCAAAAGGGGATCATGTGACCCCGGGGCATTGCAACCGTATAAATATGAGCCAAGGGTCTGAATTTTGATCGTGTAACCTTGGGGATGCTGCAACGGTCGTAAATGTGCAAAATAATCATAAGTCAATATTTTTCAGCGCCGTTTTAACTTTGAGCAGTCACTAAATGAACTGTTGTAAATCGAGGACTCCTTGTATTTTTTAAAAAAAATTGAAGGGGTAGAGGAGAATAACCTTTAACTGTGATGGGATTAGGCCCATTGCTAAGAAAATATTAGCGATAAAAGCTGTATGCCATGCCAGCAAAATTAGTTCTGAATGCAGCAGGTGAATTCAAAATAATCCCTTGTCCTCAATGACCCATCTGAACAACTGAATGTTAAATTTAGCTCAGTTGTGAAATGTAAAATTTGTTACTACTGGTTCTGTGGGCGTGGCTTGGGGGGATTAATGTGACTGGGTGGGCGTGGCCAACTTTTTTTAAAAAGAAATTAAAAGCATTTTTTCTACAACCTCTTCGGCTGAAGAGGTTGCAGAAAAAAATGCTTTTAAAAGCCTCAGACGAACAGGCAACTCAGCTGAAATGCTTTTAAAAGCCTCTGATGATCCCAGCTGAGCCACGCGATCATCAGAGGCTTTTTTTTTTTTTACTTTTAAAAGCATTTTTTCGGCCAAAAGTTGTAGAAAAAATGCTTTTAAAAGTAAAAAAAAAAAACAGCCTCTGATGATCGTGCGGCTCAGCTGGGCATGGGGTTTTTTGCTACCATTTTTTTGTAGGGAGTTTTGCTACCGGTTCTCCAAACCACCCGCCATCGCTACCAGATCAAGCAATCTGGTCCAAATCAAGAGCATTTCACCCTGATTTAGCCCATCTTGTGGTCCAACACTGGATCACTAGATCATGAGTGTGGGTAATTCAGGGGTGAAATGCTACCGGTTCGGGCCGGTTCGCCCGGACCGGTAGGAAAAAATGTTACCGGTTCCCCGAACTGATAGTAAAAAAAAAAAAGCTTTAAAAAAGTAAAAAAAGAGGTTCTGACGATCAGGTGTGAGAATCAACTGTGCCGCGTGATTGTCAGAACCATTTTTTTTACTTTTTAAAGCATTTTTTTACTACCTATTCGCCCGAACCGGTAGTAAAACAATGCTTAAAAAAGTAAAAAAAAAGAGAAAAAGTTGGCCACACCCACCCAGTCACATGACTCCCCCACCAAGCCACGCCCACAGAACCGGTAGGAAAAAATTTCACTACTGAGGTAATCTGATGATCTTTCCTACCCGGACAAAAAAAAAAAAAAATAGGCCTTGATATTAAGCCCAGAGAAGACAAACAATCATGATTAAAAAAAACACTATGGGTAGATCTCGACTTACAACGGTTCATTTAGTGACCATTCAAAGTTACAATGAAAAAACTGAAAAAATTGACTCATGACTGTTTTTCACACTTAACAACCATGGCAGTATCCCCACGGTCAAAATTCAGACACTTGGCAACTGACTCATATTTATGACGGTTGCAGTGTCCCGGGGTCATGTGATCCCTTTTTTGCGACCTTCTGACTAGCAACGTCAATGGGGAAGCCGGATTCACTTCCCAACCATCTGACTAATTTAACAAATTGCCATGATTCACTTAATAACTGTGGCTAGAAAGGTTGTAAAATGGGGCAAAACCCTCTTAACAAACATCTCACTTAACAACATAAAGTTGGGGCTCAATTGTGGTCGTTAAGTCGAGGACTACCCGCATAATGTCTATGGCCATGTTTTTTTAGGTGAGAACTTTTCTTTTGGACAAAGGATTATGTTTTATGAGTTACTTTGGTAGAAAAAAACCCAGAATCAGGCTGTTCTTGAAGTCTCGGCCCCTCAAAGAACTTGCTCACGTGTGTGTCTTTTACACCAGGGATCTCCAACCTTGGCAACTTTAAGACTTGTGGATTTCAACTCCCAGAATGCCCCAGCCAGCAAAAACATGGCTGGCTGAGGAATTCTGGGACTTGAAGTCCACAAATTTGTCTACATTTATTGTCTCCCCCCTTAAAGGAAGGTGAGTGAAATATTCATGTTGAGGTTCACCTGGACCGAGAGGCTTAAGGTTATCTCAGTTTAGACGAGGTGAAGTGTGTATAAAAAGTGGAACTTTCCTATCATCAGAGAAGGAAAGACCATTTGGCTGCCCAATCCTTGCTAAATATAAAACCGAGCTCCTATTAATAATGGATTTAATAATCTCATTTTATTATATTTTTAATGGGCATGAAGAGCATAAGCTCTTTGGATAGGTGACATAGCAATGAAGTCTCCGGTTACTTCATAAAACTGGAATAATGTGGCTTTTCGAAGGCAAAGACATATATGTTTTCCAAAAGGAGGGAAGGGAGGGAAACCACTAATTTAAAATTAAGACATGCTATAACAGGAAAACACAGGAATGTCTTACCCCGGAAACAATCAGTTCTCCGCCAAGGTTTTGGACTTCTGCTTTGACCTTGCTACAGATATTAAGCTGGTGACAGTAAAGGGCGATGCGTTGAAGGTAGGCGAGCAGATCTTGCTTACAGGCTGAATCGGGACACTGCGAAAGGAAAGAGAGAGAAGCGACTTAAAATTTGATTTATTGCTATTGAGATGCTGAATGTGCAGAGAAAACTCAAGTCACTTTGAGGTATTCAACTTTGAGGGGTGATACCGCAACTCTCGCTCGATTGTTTGGTGATTGGTTTCACACAGACCAGATCTTGTCTCGCTTACTTTGGCCTCGCAATTCATGCGAGGAAGTTCACTGGAGAAAGTCTCAAAGGTGTTTTTTCAAAAGGCAACTGGCCTCTCTTTGTTTTTTTTTCTTGAAGACCTTTCGCTTCTCATTCAAGAAGCTTCATCGGTTCACCGTTCATTCATGTCATGAGCCGTGGTGGCGCAGTATTGCAGGCTGACTCTGCCCGCAGTCTGGAGTTCAATCCTGACCAGCTCAAGGTTGACTCAGTTTTCCATCCTTCCGAGGTCGGTAAAATGAGGGCCCAGATCGTTGAGGGAAATATCCTGATCCTGTAAACTACTTAGAGAGGAGCTGTAAAGCACTGGGAAGCGGTATATAAATCTAAGTGCTATTTTTTTTTATTTGATTTATATGCCGCCCTTCTCCGGAGACTCAAGGAGGCTTACAATGCGTTAAGCAATAGCCTTCATCCTTTTGTATATTTATACAAAGTCAGCTTATTGCCCCCATAACCGGGTCCTCAATTTACCTACCTTAGAAAGGATGGAAGGCTGAGTCAACCTTGAGCCTTGGCGAGATTCGAACCAGCAGAAATTGCAGGCAGCTGGTCTTAATAACCAGCTTAATAACAGGGTGCCTTAGACCACTGTACTACCAAGGCCCTTATTGCTATTGCTATTGTCGGAATCAATAAAGCTTCTTGGATGAGAAGTGAAAAGTCTTCAAGGAAAAAAATAAAACCAGTCCGTCTGCCTTTTGAAAAACCACCTTTGGAGGATTGAGAAACTCCATAGTCACTGGAGAAAGCAATTATGCTGGGAAGAGTTAGTAGTAAATGGAAACCAGGCAGGGGTGAGCTGCTGAGGGGTTCGCAGGAGTTCGGGAGAACCTCTAGTTAAGATTCTGTGCAGTTCGGAGAACCCCTAAATCCCACTCCTGGCTGGCCCCACCCCGCCCCACCCACCCCTCCCCTCCCAGGAGTCCCCATGCGGCCCATTTTGGATGCAGGTAAGTGCAGGACGTGCATAGAGGCTTGGGAAGGCCAGAAATGTCCCATTTCCAGCTTCCCAGAGGGCCTCCGGAGACTGGGGAGGCTGTTTTCGCCCTCCTGTAGACTCGAGGAAAGCCTCCAGAGCCCGGGGAGGGCAAAAACGCCTACCGGCCATGGTGCAGGAGGCCGACTAGGCCACACCCACCATGGCCACGCCCACCCAGCAACCGGACAGAGAACTCCTTGCTAAAATTTTTGAAGCTCACCTTTGAAACCAGGCCATCAAAGGACAAAGTAAGACAATCACAAAATACCAATAGGAAAAGATAGTAGGAAAGATGAAAAAGGATAATAGTAATACAGCTCTACTACCTGAATAAAATAAATGATAAATCTTTTTTCTTTCCCAGCACAAAACGGTAGGTCCGGAACTCAAGAAGGCCAAAGAGAGAGAAACAGAGAAAGCAAGCACAGCCATCGTTCGTCACTTACCCGATGAACTGTAAAGCAGACAGCAAAAATATTGTTTCCATCTCCTTAGGATATGTTTCAGGTTGCACATAAAATTCTCTCCGTGCACAATATACTATCTTTTATGATGGTAGAAAACGAACCACATCGAGAGGAGAGGTTTTCAGCCCAGAAAGCAGTAATAACGAACTACAACCAGGAAATGGTCATTTTTACTTCACTGGCGGAACGACACCTGTGGCACTCTTTGGACATGCCTTACAAATCAAAACAACACGGGGCGCAATTCAGTTTAGCTAAACGGAGCAAGTACTGTCTGAAGGGTTTGTAATCCCCGCAGAAACCTGGAACATAATTTATGGGGCAGCTACCGAAGAGAGAGGAAGACTAGTGATATAACCGAAGATACTGCATGGGTAGTCCTCGACTTAAGGCCAGTTATGATGGACTCCCCCTAAAAGGTACAGGTAGTCCTCGATTTATGGCCACAATTGAGCCCAAAATTTCTATCGCTAAGCAAGAAAGTTGTTAAGCGAGTTTTGCCCCATTTATTTACGAACTTTCTTGCCACAAGTTGTTCAGCGAATCACTGAAGTTGTTAAGTTAGTAACACGGCTGTTAAGTGAATCTGACTTCACCATTGATTTTGCTGGTCAGAAGGTCGCAAAAGGAGATCACATCAGAGGAGGGTTTCAGCAGGTTCTGACCAGTTCTGGCGAACCGGTAGCGGAAATTTTGAGTAGTTCGGAGAACTGGTAAATACCACCTCTGACTGGCCCCACCCCCATCTATTCTCTGCCTCCCGAGTCCCAGCTGATTTGGAGGAAATGGGGATTTTGCAGTAACCTTCCCCTGCCATGCCCACCAAGCCATGCCACTCCCACTAAGCCACACCCACAGAACCGGTACTAAAAAATTTTGAATCCCACCACTGGATCACATGACCCTGGGACACGGCAACCAACATAAATACAAGCCAGTTGCCAATCGTCCAAATTCTGATCACATGACTAGAATAACAGGCTAATAAAGTTGGAAGGGACCTTAGAGGTCGTCTAGTCCAGAGGTCCCCAACCCCTGGTTCCGTGGACCGGCACTGGGATGCGGCAAGCCAGAAACTGATCCGCACAAACAAGCAAAACCTCATCCGCAGGATGCAGGCAACATGCAAAACCACGCCCCTTCCTGTCCGCAGAAAAACCTCCCTCCATGGAATCGGTTGCTGGTGCCCAAAAGGTTGGGGGCTGTTGTTCTATTCCAACCTCCTGTTCAAGTAGGAAATCTTATACCATTTCAGACAAATGATTGTCTAATCTTTTGTAAAAGACTTCAGGATTTGTTCTGACCTAGGCTTCCTTTGAATGTATACAGCATAATCTTAGTCCTGGCAAAACCTCTTTTGTTTACACGCCTGTGAATTATTTTCGGTGATCGCGTGCAAAGTGCGTGCACGAAGAGAACCGGTGGTAACGCCGGTTGGAACCCACCACTGGGGGGGGGGGGCAGTCAGAATTTTTACTACCGGTTCTCCGAACTACTCAAAATTTCCGCTACCGGTTCTCCAGAACTGGTCAGAACCTGCTGAAACCCACCTCTGCCTGTGATCACCATTTGAAAACTTCCCAGCTAGATTCCAACAAGCAAAAAAACAATTTGGGAAGCCAGATTCATTTAAGGATTGCATAAGTCACATAACAGCTGCAGAGGTTTTCTTGACCACCGCAGCAAAAGAGGTCGTAAAGTCAGGAGCGACTCATTTAACATCTGCCTTGCTTAGCTATGGTTCCCAATTGAAGTGGTAAGTTGAGGACTACCTGGGTCAGAAGTCTTCAAATTTGGCAGCTTTAAGACTTGTGGACTTCAACTCCCAGAATTCTCCAGCCAGAGAATTCTGGGAGTTGAAGTCCACAAGTCTTAAAGCTGCCAAGTTTGAAGACCTCTGACCTAGAGTAAAGCCAGATGGGCTTCAGTCCAAATTCAGTTGGACTCTACTACTGATGAAGATAAGTGGAAAATGTGGGAACATATTTTATGATATTGGTCATTCGTGTTTAGAGTTGTTTGCCCCAACTGGGAATAATTCTGTAGATTTGCACATTGGGATCTTTCTCATCTCCAACAGGAGATATAAAGGACTTTTAGAACTGAATATAACAGTTATTCAGAATATAACAGGATAACAGAGTTGGAAGGGACCTGGGAGGTCTTCTAGTCCAACCCCCTGCTCAAGCTGTATCATTTTAGACAAATGGCTGTCCAGTCTATTCTTGTAAATCTCCAGTGATGAAGAACCCTCAAAAAGGGGGAGGTTAGGCAGAACAAATGGCTTCTTAAAACTCTCCAGTGATGTAACTTCTAGTGGCAAGCTGTTCCACCGGCTAGTTGTGATCACTGTTAGGAAATTTCTCCTTAATTCCAGGTTGCTTCTCTCCTTGATTAGTTTCCATCCATTGTTTCTTGTCCTGCCTTCTGGTGCTTTGGAAAATAAATTGACCCTCTCTTCTTTGTGGCAGCCCCTCAAATATTGGAAGACTGTTAACATGTCACCCCTAGTCCTTCTCTTTGTTAGATGCAGCTCCTGAAAACATTTTTCATAGAATTTAGAAGAAACCAGTGCCGAATTACATGGCCCTTTGGGAGGATAAAATCCAGGTGCCCATTAAAACGAGAGTAAAAAATATACAGGTGGCCAGCCTCCACCATACATACTACATATTATTATTTTTTCTCATATTATTTTTAAATCAGCCTCTCTTGAGAATTTCTTGGGGTAGTTAAGGCTAATCTCTTCTTCCATATATATGATAATGCCAGGAAATTGTCTCCTTTTTCTTCCCAAAGTTGCCCCATCTTTCAAGTCCAAATCTCAGAGGTCTATTTTTTTTCTTTTCTTACTTAGCTGCCAGTTAGCACAGTCGCATTTATTCCACTCCAGAGATCCTGCATTTGAAATATACTTTGAGATTAAATCCTCCAGAGAGACGACAAAAGCCTCAAATGGAAGGAGCAAATTAAAACTCTCTCTTTCTCTCTCTCTTTGTTTCTCTCTTTCTCTTTAGCGCCGTAATTAAAAATGAAACAGCCTATAAAAAAAGTTAATGCTGCAAAGAGGTCTCAAAACTTCGATAAAAATTTCCCCGGTTTTGAGGCTCTGAGGAAAGACAAATAATCTCAGCGACTTTAAAAAATCTAAAAAACTAGTAATAATGAGGCTTTCAAAAATTCTGCTGGTACTCCCAACTCGGCTGAGCAGCTGTTCTGTTTTTATTTTAGATCACTGCCGGGTAGTTATGGGTTCCCTTTGTGATTTGCTTGGGTTTTTCGATTTTTTTAAAGTGAACTTTTGAGGATATTCCTCCAAACCAACAAAGGAATTCTTTAGGAGGCTCTTATAGGGCAGACTGGAAACATTTCCTTGCTCAGATTCACTTTTAAAGGATCAATTAAATATCAGCAGGTGTGGAAGATTTGTTTTAAAGACAGAGCTGTTGTTAGGATATTGAATGTAGTAGCTGGAACAGTAAAATGTACAATGATCCAGAACACGCAGTTGTAATTGAGTAGTTAAGAGAGTGCTGATTCATGCATGAGGCATTCTATGCTATGATTGGTCGCTGTAAGTACAAAGGGGGCGTTTCCCTTTTTCCCGCCTTTTTCTCTTCAGTGCGTTCTGTATACTGTTTTAGATTTACCTCACGATTTTACTACGTTCCTGATTATCTTGTTTGCTACAAATATAAATGTTACATATATTTATTTATCTAAAACTACAAGTTCGTGTCAGTGTCTTTGACTTCATTTGGAGAGCTGCTGCATAATTCCCTGACCATTGTCCTTTTTCAAATGGTAAATTAGAAATTTTCACTGTTGGCGGAAGCTCTCCATACCCAGGTTTAATTGTAAGTTTGGGTTACAAGAAACCTGACGATGGCAGGTCAGGAAATCCAGCATATAAAAACCATCGGCTTCATGGGAGTAAATAGAATGGGAAATACTGATAGTCTTCAACTTGTGACCATTCATTTAGTGAGCGTTCAAAGTAACAATGGCACTGAAAAAAGTGACTTATGACCGTTTTCCACTCTTAGTGAAAGCAGCATCTCCGTGATCAAAATTCAGGGGCTTGGCAACCAACTCGTATTTATAATGGTTTCAGTGTCCCAGGATCATGCGATCATCACCTTTTGCGACCTTCTGACAAGCAAAGTCCATGAGAAAGTCAGACTCACTTAACAACCATGTTACTCACTTAACAACTGCAGTGATTCACCTAACAATTGTGGAAATGAAAGGCCATAAATAGGGGCAAAACTCACTTAACAACTGGGTTAATAAGTGTTAACAACGGATTTCCGGAAGTGTGGAATTCAACTCCCAGAATCTTCAGCAAAGGCTATGCCTGTGATGGTGAACCTATAGCACGCGTGTCTGAGGTGACACGCAGAGCACTCTCTGTGGGCATGCAAACCGTGGCCAGCTACTCTTCTGGTTTCCGGTGTGTGCATGTGCGCTGGCCAGCTGGCCTTTGCAGGCGCTGGAGCACTGGAAAATGGCCTGAAAATGGCCAAAAAACAGGCTGGGAAACAGCCCGAAAAACGGCTTGAAAAAGGGCCAAAAACAGGCATGTACGCGCCGGCCAGCTGGTCTTTGGGTTTCCGGTGCTCCGGCATGGGCGAAGACCAGCTGGCCAGCGTGCATGCACGTGCTGGAAACCCGAAGACAGCTGGCTGGTGCGTATTCACACCGGCACTCCGGTGTGCACACATGAACACACATTCCGGTTTGGCCACTCGGTGCCGAAAAGGTTCACCATCACTGGGCTATGCAGACTGGGGGATTATAACAGAACAAAATAACAGAGTTGGAAGGGACCTTGTAGGTCATCTAGTCCAACCCCCTGCCTAAGCAGGAGACCCTAGACCATTTCTGACAGATGGCATCATCTTCCAGGGATGAAGTTCCCACAACCTCCGAAGGCAACCTCTGTTCCATTGGTTGATTGTTCTCACTGTCAGAAAATTTCACCTTGTGAATTTCTCCTTGTTCAGTTTCCATCCATTATTCCTTGTCTGGCCTTCAGGTGCTTTGGAAAAAAGGTTGACCCCCTCCTCTCTGTGGCAGCCCCTGAAAGAACTGGAACACTGCTATCATGTCTCCCCTTGTCCTTTTCTTCTGGGAGTTGAGGTCCACTTTCTGGAAATTCGATTCTACCTGGTAGCTATCAATGGATCTTCACTCGCTGCACCCTGCCGAAGATTCATCTAATCCTAACAAGACTCCCTGTGCTGCAAGAATGGCTTCTCCCAGAGAACAAATCCTACAAATGCAATGTACTACATAAAACTCTGCAATTAAATAACACTATCTGCTATGCTGCTTTGGAATAGACTGTGACCTCTATGCTCTTCTCTTTCAATTAGTAACAGAACCGTTTCCTGAAGCCATGGCTTCCAGGCAGAACTCCACTTAAGCATGTTTTTTTTTTATAGATGGTAAGCTTTTCCCTTTTAAATAGCTGCTTAAAAGTTGGTTACATGAAAAACACTGGCAAGACTCATGGGAGATTAAGAACGCCTCACAGACTGCAAAAGAAAACAGGAGAAATGGGAAGACAGGCAGTCCTTGGCTTGCAACCATTCGTTTAGTGACCGTTCAGTTACAACGGTACTGAAAAAAAAGTGACAGATGACTGTTTTTCACACCAATGACCGTTACAGCATCCCTATGGTGCAGTGGTGGGTTTCAAATTTTTTTACTACCGGTTCTGTGGGCATGGCTTGGTGGGCGTGGCATGGCATGGCTTGATGGGCGTGGCAGGGGAAGGATACTGTAAAATCTCCATTCCCACCCCAATCCAGGGGAAGGATACTGCAAAATCCCCATTTCCTCCCGATCAGCTGGGATTTGGTAGGCAGAGAATAGATGGGGGTGGGGCCAGTTAGAATTTTTACTACCGGTTCTCTGAACTACTCAAAATTTCCGCTACCAGTTCTCCAGAACTGGTCGGAACCGGCTGAAACCCACCTATGCTATGGTCACGTGATCAATATTGGCCACTTGGCAACTGGTTCACAAAAATGACGGTTGTAGTGTCTCGGGGTCATGTGATCCCTTTTTGCGACCTTCTGATGAGCAAATTCAACGGGGAAGCCAGATTCATTTAACAATCATGTTACGAACTTAACAAGCACTGTGATTCACTTAACAACTGTGGCAAGAAAGGTTGTAAAATGAGGCAAAACTCACTTAACAACTGTCTCGTTTAGCAACAGAAATCTTGGTCTCAATTATTATCCTAAGTCAAGGTCTAACTATACAATTCTCCTTGATGTGATCCTAATGAGGTGAAAAAAATTTTCACGGCCCATCCCCCGTCAGGTACCATGACCCTGTTATTAACACAGCTGCAATTTACTGCTGGTTCGAATCTCTCCAAGGCTCAAGGTTGACTCAGCCTTCCATCCTTTCTAAGGTAGGTGAAATGAGGACCCAGTTTGTGGTGGCAATAAGCTGACTTTGTATAAATATACAAAGTATGAAGGCTATTGCTTAACGCATTGTAAGCCGCCCTGAGTCTCCGGAGAAGGGCGGCATATAAATCAAATTAAAAAAAAAAAATGTTTAGGAACTATAACTCCCAGAATTCTCGGAGGCACCCAAGCCAGTTAGCATACTGAGTGGAAATTCAGGACTCTCTCTCTGTGTGTGTGTGTGTGTGTTTGTGTGTTTCTTTTTCTATTATATATGCACAGCACCTTGCTGAGGAAAGCTGCTTTAATCAGAAAGAAACACATTACAATTCCAGGCACGCAATCATGACGGGCAGAAACGGTTCGCTCTGCTGCTCAAGCTCATCTCGAGAGCAGCTCTGAAATTACCTGATCGGCCACCGCCCGCGCCAGTTTGTCCATTCTGGAGCCGGCTTCTGCAATTTTCTTGGCGGCATTTATGACATCGGAGGTATTCTTCAGTGGCCCTTTACCCCTAGAAGAGACAAGGGGAAAGCCGTTGACTTAATGCTTGGAAATGAAAATGAATTTGAATATAAATACTTTATTTGGTTCAAGTGTGATTAGACACACAAGGAATTTGTCTCTGGTACAGAAGCACTCAGTGTACACGCAAAGCAACAACAATAATAAATTATTACATTTAAATGAATAAATAAAGCTGAATTGCTCTGGGACTTTAGAATTCAAACAGACAGACAGCTGCCACATAACTCTCCAGACTTAACATTTGTTGATTAGAAAGATGCAAAAAATCTGGATAGTGGACGTGGCAGTACCTGGAGACAGCAAAACAGAAGAAAAAGAACTGGAGAAGATAACAAAATACGAAGACCTGAAAATAAAAATAGAATGACTGTGGTAAAAGCAAGCAGAAGTAGTTCCAATAATAATGGGCACCTTGGATGCAATCCCAAAACAAGTGGAACGGTACTTGAATACCATTGGCATTGGCAATTTCGCCATCAGTCAATTGCAAAAAGCAGCTTTACTAAGAACAACTTCCATCCTGCAATGATATCTATAACACCATCAAACAACCAGATCTGCCTATCCCGGGTCCTTGGAAAGGACTTGATAGGTAGGCAAAAATGCCAAATCCAGTTTGAACATTATGACGAACTAAGAATAAGAATAAGAATAAGAAGATCTTGTGGGACTTTTGAATACAGACTGATCATCATTTGGAACATAACACTCCAGATATCACGGTTGTTGAGGGCCGAAGCATACAGTTTATTGATATCGCTGTACCAGGAGATGCCAGAGTCGAAGAAAAAGAACTGGAAAAAAATCACGAAATATCACGCCCTTGCCATTGAAACTACATGGCTATGGATGAAACATGTAACAGTGATATCCGTTGTCATCGGGGTACTTGGTACCATGTCCAAGAATTTCACAAAACACATCAAGAAATTGCAGCTTCCTGCAATAATACCAGCGGAACTGCAAAAAAAATGCGCTACTCGGAACATCATATATTTTAAGAAGATACTTGGTTGATACCTAAGATGCTGGCAGCAACCCATATCAACCATTAGCATCAGTCACTCGTATTTGTGACACATTTTTAAATGTGACACAACATGACTGAGTTTCATGTTTAATGAATAAAAGAGATAATACCAATAAAAGGTGGAATAAAGATAATAATGATAAATAATACTACTACTGAGACACTACATGGATAAATATACACAGACATTAGGCAGCACTGTGAAAATTATGTGTTTAGCAGACTGAGGCACAAGAGAAAAAAAAAACTGTCCCCGTGTCTACTTGAAATTGCATCTGCAATGGAACTGCATCTATATGGAGTATGCAATACTCTTCAACATCTTCATCAATGACTTGGATGAGGGGATAGATGGGGAGCTCATCACATTTGTAGATGACACCAAGCTGGCAGGACTAGCCAACAGTCCAGAAGATAGGCTCAAGATACAGAAGGATCTTGACAGACTTGAACATTGGGCGCTATCCAACAAAATAAAATTCAAGAGTGAAAAAAGTGAGGTTCTACATTTAGGCAAGAAAAACCAAATGCACAGGTATAGTATAGGTGGTACCTAGTTCAATAGTAGTAATTGTGGAGGGATCTTGGAGTCTTGGTGGACAACCAGTTAAATATGAGCTAGCAGTGTGCAGCAACTGCCAAAAAAGCCAACACAGTTCTGGGCTGCATAAACAGAGAGATAGAATCAAGATCAAATGAAGTGTTAATGTCACTTTGTAATGCCTTGGTAAAACCACACGTGGAATACTGCACCAAGTTTTGGTCGCCAAGATGTAAAAAAGATGCGGAGACTCTAGAAAGAGTGCAAGGAAGAGCAACAAAGATGATTAGGGGACTGGAGGCTAAAAGATATGGAGAACGGTTGCTGGAATTGGGTATGTCTAGTCTGATGAAAAGAAGGACTGGGGGGGTGACATGATAGCAGTCTTCCAATATTTGACGGGTTGCCACAAAGAAGAGGGAGTCAAGCTATTCTCTAAAGCACCTGAAGGCAGGAGAAGAAGCAATGGGTGGAAACTAATCAAGGAGAGAAGCAACATAGAACTAAGGAGAAATTTCCTGACAGTGAGAACAATTAATCAGTGGAACAACTCGCCTCCAGAAGTTGTAAATGCTCCAACACTGGAAATTTTTAAGAAAAGATTGGACAACCATTTGTGTGAAATGGTATAAGGCTTCCCGCCTCACCAGGGGGTTGGACTAGAAGACCTCCAAGGTCCCTTCCAACTCTTTCATTCCGTTATTTTGTTAAACAGTTTGTGCTCAGGATGCGAGGGGTCTGCAGATATTTTTTTTCAGCCCTCCTTCTGACCCACACAATATGCAGCTTTTCTATGGAAGAACAGCTGGTTTTTTTCTGCAATCTTGACTATCCGCTGGTGTCCGTGCCTGTCCTGTACGGTTGCTATACCAAACCAGACAGTTATAGACGTGCAAATGATAAGATTCAATAATTCCTCTATAAAACTGTATCACCAGTTCCATTTTCGTTTTTCATATTCTTGCAGAACTGCGAGATGACTGTTTCCCCAATTTAGCACACCATGCTCTTTAAACTACTTATTAGAGTATAGGTTAGGAGATTGGGGGGGGGAAGGGGGGGGGCTGAGGGAGGCAATGTAGATGTATAGCTACTCCAAAATGCTTTGCCAGCAGTTTGGTCTCGATTTTGCCTCCGAGCTCCTGAACTTAATTGTAGATGCATTTTTAAAAGTGTTCATTAAGAGGGTATTCCTGGAGGAATGCAAAACAGCGAAAGGGCTCAACGTTTCCCCCACCCTCCGGCTCCCCAAGCTGGATTTAATGTAAAATTGGCCAGATCCAATCCCGAAATGGGTCAGAGTTCAGCAGGGACATAAAAGAAAGCAGCTTTACACTTGCACAAAGTTGAATATTATCAGGGAGGTTTGTTAAAATGCTGGTTGAGTTTCAGATCATTATTTATGTATTTGTTTTTGCAATTGCTCGTCCAGCTGTTCGGCTAATTTGTTTATTAGATTTGTATTGCATCATTAATATTTTATAAGTAGCTCAAGGTGATGAACATACATATCAATCTTTCCGCCAGAGGTGGTATTCGACCGGTTCAGACTGGTTCGGCGAACCGGTAAATACCACCTCTGCCTGGCCCCGCCCCTGCCCACTCGCTCGCTCTTTGAAAACATTTTACTTCTCATCCAAGAAGCTTCTTCAGTTCTTGAAAACATTTTGCTTTTCATCCAAGAAGCTTCTTCCGTTCTTGAAAACATTTCGCTTCTCATCCAAGAAGCTTCTTCAGTTCTTCTTGAAGACGTTTCGCTTCTCATCCAAGAAGCCTCTTCAGTTCTTCTTGAAGAAGTTTTGCATCTCAGTTCTTCTGAAGAAGCTTCTTGGATGAGAAGTGAAAAACAACAACAACAAGAAAATCCAGTTGACTTTTGAACAGCACCTTTGGGACACCATGGCCTACCTACCTGGGTGACTTGAGAATCTCCATAGACAACCCTCACAAGGACAAACTTCACTGATTGACCTACCTGGTGAAGTCCGTCATTTCCATCATGATCATGCACATCTGTTTGGCTAGGACGATGATGTCATTCCCGCTGTCATCCCATTTGGCCACCTCGGCGTCCAGTTTGCTCTTTTCTTGATGGAATATCTCTACCTGCTCAGCTATTTTTGCCTTCTCTTCCTGAGGAAGCTGAGCCATGATGGCCTGTATTAAACCACACAGAATCGTGTAATTTTAAGACGTGTCAAGAATGGAAACTTTGAGTTAGCTTCTCACTGCTTCTCCTAAGTAGGAAAATCATTTTAAAGATGCCATGTTATCCATTCATTTGAATCTAATCTGATTATTTGTGCTTCAGTTTCTGCTGATGAGGCATCCTTCAGGGCAGGGGTGAAATGCTGCCGGTTCGGACCGGATCGCCCGATCTGGTAGCGATGGCGGGGGATGGTTCGGAGAACCAGTAACAAAAATCCCTCCCCACTCCCATGCCCAGCTGAGCTGGGCAATCATCAGGGGCTTTTTATTTTATTTTTAAAAGCATTTTTTCTACAACCTCTTCGGCCGAAAAAATGCTTTTAAAAGTAAAAAAAAAAAAAAAAAAGCCTCTGCCGAACAGGCAAGTCAGCCTTGATCGTCAGAGGCTTTTAAAAGCATTTTTTAACAACCTCTTTGGCTGAAGAGGTTGTAGAAAAAAATGGTTTTAAAAGTTTTTTTAAGAAGAGTTGGCCACGCCCACTCAGTTATATTACTGCCCCAAGCCACACCCACAGAACCGGTAGTAACAAATTTTACATTTCACCACTGCTTCAGGGGTCTCCAAACTTGGCGACTTTAAGACTTGTGGACTTCAACTCCCAGAATTCCCCTGGCAGCCATGCTGATTGAGGAATTCTGGGACTTGAAGTCCACAAGTCTTAATGACCCAAGTTTGAGATTTAGATCACCGATGCCAACAAACCAACTTTCTCAGAGCTGGACCAGTCAGTGTTCAATGTCAGCTCTGGCTTGTTTTTCTGAACTCAGCAACAAACAAGCAGTCTGCTGGCACCTTAAAAATGAAATATCTATTATCGCAGAATCTTTCATGGGTCAAGGACTACTTCATTAGCTACCAGAAAGGGGAAAAACAGCTCAAAACTCAGTATAATTACAATATAGTAACAGATGGTCCTAATTTGGCTAGCGAGCTGGATCATAGTCGGTGACAATCTGCACAAACTGGATCATCAAACTCTGCCACTGATGCCACAAGAAAACTCTGAAATTTTGGAAGCCGTTTGTGAACTTGTGTTAAATTCAATAACAGACTGTTAAGAGAGGGTTTTGAAGATGAGTCTTCTTCTTGGGGTTACCTGTTACCTCTTTCTTTTTATAGTGAAAAGATGGTGGGTCGGCTTGATTGATAGACAATAGATTTCTACAATGGTAGATTTTTTTTCACGTAACATAGCATTTTTAGTAATTATAGATGGGAAAGTTTATAACTACTTGTAGCTCTGTTACGCAATGTGGGGAGAAGGCTTCGGATATTTGAGTTATTCTTTTCTTAGCATTCAACCAGAGTAGACATTTTATGTTTAATGTTAATATTAATAATATATTTGTTACTTGTTTATATATATTTTCTATGTGTTGTTTGGTTTGGGAGTCAAAGTTTTCTTCTTTCTGTTTTGTATTGTAACTTTGGAGAAAGATGAAAACAATTATTAAAAAGAAAAAGAAGAAGAAAACTCCTAAATTTTTAGTCCTTGATAGACTTTTGTGCGCTCCGGAATTCGTGCTGTGCAAGTTTCTAGAGGAACTTGAAAAGAGTTTCAATGGATATCACCATTAAACTGATTCTGAGACTAATGGTAAACACAAGAATTCCACTTTATTTCAACTTTTTTTTGAGGGCGACGCTGCAAGAAAACAGCAAAACAGTCATAATTACTTTTGAAGATCAAAATAGGGACCTTTCAGTCATGATTCCTTAACTGAAAGTATGTTTAGCTCCAGGGTTATATCCCACTGTTTGGTACATTTAATGGAGTGTAACATAGATTTAAGTGTCATTACATTTTTTTCTTGTTTATGTCACTTTCAATCAGCTATTGCTTCTCTCTACATATTCTTAAAATGCTCTTGGCTTTTTAAAAAATTCACAATTGACCTTTTCCAGAACCAGAATTTGTGGGGGGGAGGTTATCTTGAATCAGGAGATCAGAAAAATTAAGAAAACTGAAAGCTTATCAAATTAGAATTCAGCATCTGAGTTTTAATTAGGCCTTATCAAAGTAGCTCAGCAGTCTGAAATGTTAATGTGCAAACCCAACACAACAACAACAACAGCTTCCCCTATAAAAAGGCACAGAAATTGAGTCTCTTCTTTGCATCTCAAAAAAACTGCAGTGCTGTTTTATGAACCTAATGTTTATTTGCATCTCTAAGATTGTGCATATTTATTTGTGTGTCTGGGTGTGCGTGCACTGTGTCACACAATGAGTCTTCCTGATATGCGGTATGATTCCAACTTAAGCTAACATTCATTTTTATGCTTCTTCCAACACTGAAATTGGTTTTTTTCCACCCCCCAAAGAGTGTTTTCTCCTTTTCCTTTTCGGTGGGTTATGCAGTGTATAAATTCCCGTTTTATTTACTTCTAATCCACAATAAATGTGGAGTCGTTAAACAACAAATAACTTCTATGGAGTGGTGTTACCGCCACATATACCTTCCGGTTATACAGAAGCAGAATTATTTTATGGGAAAACATTCCTAGGACTCGTAAGCAACCACACTGAACCAAAAAAAAAATTAAAAAAAATGCAGATTTCGTTGGGCAAACTAACAGCCGTCTTCAGGCCCCCATGGAAGGTCAACATGGTCGGGGCAGATCTCACCTTGAGGGACACGATGTTCCAGAAGGTGGAAGTCATGGCAGAGAAGGCCCTTCTCCTGGACATTGCCAGCCAGAATTCCTTGACTGACGGAGCCCACAGCATACCCCTTCTGCTAGCATGGGTGGGCAGGCCAGTTTCCTTTGGATGAGATGGTTCCTCAGATACCTCGCTCCATGCTATGCAGGGTTTTAAAGGTGATAACCAACATCTTGAATTGGAGACTGCCCCACCTGTGCTGGCAAAAGGGGCATAACTGTGGGCCCCATCCAGTTCTGGAGACCTCACTTAAAAAAAGGGAATCAATAAGATAAGAGTGACTCAAGAAATGGACAACAAAAATGGCACAAAATCTGAGGGACAAACCATACCAGGAGAGATTGGAGGAACTGAATATGTACAGTCTGGAGCAGGGGTCTCCAACCTTGGCAACTTTAAGACTTGTGGACTTCAACTCCCAGAGTTCCTCAGCCAGCTTTGCTGAGTTGAAGTCTACAAGTCTTAAAGTTGCCAAGGTTGGAGACCCCTGGTCTGGAGGACACAAGGGAAAGGGAGGTACATGATTGAAACGTTTAAATATATTAACAACAATATGTATTCAGTTTGTTAGGTTGGTGGAGCTTCTTAAACAAAATTTATACCATCCTGCAAGTGTGTATACCATCTGGTTGGTTAAAACAGAAGAAAAGGTAGGTTTAATTTTATGGACTACTATCAAAAGTTTGTATGATGAAATGGCCCATAATGCCCTTTTTGGTTGGTTGTGATTTTAGCAACTGAAAATTATACTTAGGTATTTTTTTAAATTTCAGATGCCATAGCAAACAATTGTATCAATTCAGTTGTGGCTTGAGAAACATGAGATGCTATCTGCAAAGTATTTCAATCTTCTTTAAGAAAAGCTTTCTGTCCTGCTTGGAGATTTTGATATCAGTAATTCATAATATTCAGCATGTTAAAATTGGGACACTTGTCCCAAGTTTTTGGCATGTTTTCTCCATTATTATAAGGTTTAGGAACCTGATCTTTTTCTCAATGTTTTAATAGGAAAGCTTGAATTCCTTGGAGTTTTGACAAATTTATTAGATTAGGTGTTAAAAAATTTTTTTAAGAAAAAAAAATATTGGCATGAAGCTTGGGTCATGCAAAAAGAACTATCAACAGATATTTTTTTTTTCTGTTTTGCACAAACTTCTCCAACCAACCCCATTTGAGTGTCAAACAAATTAACTCAGTTCTTGAGAACTCAAAATGGAACTTCACGCTCAGTAGCCATCCTAAGCTTTATATTCTCCAAATCAGCTTGCAGAAGCAGACACATTGGAAGAGATATTCATGCACTGCTTAGACCGTAAACTCACCCTTGCACTTTGGCCAGCAATAAGCTGATCGTCTTCAGTTTGAACGCTTGTCCGGCTACGGACATCATAATCTTCCTGTTCGAAATCAGAATCATCCTCTAGCTCTTCGGGAGTCTGGATTTTAGGGCAGAAAGGAGGAAAGATAAGAAGGAAGGAAGGAAGGAAGGAAGGAAGGAAGGAAGGAAGGAAGGAAGGAAGGAAGGAAGGAAGGAAAGGTTGTGTGAAAAAGAAGAGAGGAGAAGAGGAAGTTGTGTAGGGAGGGAGGGAGTTTGTGTGAGTACAAAGGGAAGGAAGGAAGGAAGGAAAGAAGGATTGTGTGAAAAAGAAGAGAAGGGAAGAAGGAAGTTGTGTAGGGAGGGAGGGAGGTTGTGTGAGTACATAGGGAAGGAAGGAAGGAAGGAAGGAAGGAAGGAAGGAAGGAAGGAAGGAAGGAAGGAAGAGAAGAAGAGATTTTATAGGAAGGAAGGAAGGAAAAAGGAGGGAGGGAGGAAGGAAGGAAGAAAAGAAGAGAGGTTTTATGGGAAGGAAGGAAGGAAAGGAGGGAGGGAGGGAGGGAGGGAGAGAGGGAGGGAGGGAGGAAGGAAGGAAGGGAAGGAAGGAAGGAAGGAAGGAAGGAAGGAAGAAAAAAACAGAAGGCAAACTTACAAAGGATACAAATGAATTCCAGTGATTGCTACGTTCGTGTTTTATCAACTAACCTGCCCAGAAAATGTTGTTTCGTCTTCATTTTAAATTAACTTGTCGGCAAAGGCAGGCAGGACCCCAAATTGAATTGTCCACAAAAAAATGAAGTTGTTCGAAACCTGCTTTTTCCCCAGCAGCATTAATCATCACCTTGCTGTGATTTCTCTTAAGCCTGTTAACAGGGGGAATGTACATTGGGGCAAAGGGACAGCCCTAGGACGCATTTCCCGCTTGGAATGTGATATTTCAAAATAATTGTATTTCTTCTCTAGGGGGAAAAAAAAAAAAAAGAAGACCTACAAGACAACAGGCTGAACAGATTGCACCCTCCTCCAAGAGTTTACAGAAATACCTGCAAAAAAAAAAAAGGCTCCTTGAGCTCAAAGATGGGGAGAAGACCGGCCTACCCCTCTTTCTCTAAATTGGACACAGTCTGAAGTGTGATCTGAGTAATTATTAATAGCAGTAGTGGGTTTCACTTACCTTTGCTACTGGTTCGCAAATGTGAGTCACGTGCCACGTCTGCGCATGCACAGATGCTTCTGCGTACGCGCAGAGAGTCCGTGATGATGTCTGGTTGGGTGGGCGGAGCCACCTGCCACCGCCGCTACCGGTTTGCTCGAACCGGGTAGAACTGGTAGAAACCCACCACTGGTTAATAGCCTGATCACAAGACTTGACAATTGTTGTGACCCAGGCCCAAGTAGGTATTATCAGACGCAATCAGTTCGAAAACAAACAGTCTTTATTAGAACATCTGAGAATTAACTCATTCTCAGCGTAGTCCAAACTAATTCAAAACAAATTCTTCATAACACAATTCTTCAGCCTTATCACCAACCTTGGTCTAATTAGGCAACCTGCCAAAGGCTTTTCTTGGCAAAAGTTCAGAAGCAGAAGACGCCGACAAGAAATAAATGCAGCAAGACAAGAAACAAATCTATCAACGTTGTTTTACGACAAAGAGCCCAAGAGCCATTGCTGGTCTTTTAAGCCTTATGGGAGGGGCCAATCATCTCCTGGCCTTACTCCCGAGTCGTCCTTTTTGCTTTAGCTGCTCTGCCTTCTGGCAGCTCTGCGCATGCACACACTAGGAACAGGCTCCTCCTGTTCCTCTGCCTCTCTGTTGTCCGACTCTGGAGGCTCTGGAGTCTGCTCATCACTCCCAGATGGCCCTGGCCCCATCTCTGCCTCTGATGCAGAGCCCTCATCTGGGCCTTCCCCAGCCTCCAGGACTGGCCCATATTCTTCCTCATCCTCCTCACTGTCTGACTCCGCTGCCAGCTCTGCAGGCTGCTGGCGGACCACAACAACAATGGAACAAACCTCTGGATTGTGAGAGTGTAGAGAAGATTGCAACACTCCCTATTTTATGCTTGCCAAAGCAAGGAGAACGTTCCTTGTAATTCTTTTGGTCTTTTCACATTTTCATTTCTCCATTTTTTCAATACTTTCTTTACAGTTTTAGAGCTGAGATGGTTAAAAAAATGGTTGGGTTAATATAGCAGATTGAACAGGGCAATAGCTCTGGTGATGGCCTCTACAAACAACAAAGCATGAAGGAGCCATTGCTTTAGAGATTAAGACACCAGGCTAGAAACTGAGAAACTATGAGTTCTAGCCCTGCCCTTAGTAATGAAAGCCAGCTGGGTGGCTTTGAGCCAATCACCAGGAGACTGGGAATTATAGTCCCACCTTAGTCATGAAAGGATAATTTTGGGCCAATCTGGATAATTTTGGACTGATCACCAGGAGATGGTGAGTTCTAGTCTTGCCTTAGACATGGAAGCCAGCTGGGTGGCTTTGGGCCAATCACCAGGAGACTGGGAATTATAGTCCCACCTTAGTCATGAAAGGATAATTTTGGGCCAATCTGGATAATTTTGGGCTGATCACCAGGAGATGGTGAGTTCTAGTCTTGCCTTAGACATGGAAGCCGGCTAGGTGACTTCAGGCCAATCACCGGGAGACAGTGAGTTCTAGTCCTGCCTTAAGCACGAAAGCCAGTTGGGTGACTTCAGGCCAATCACCAGGAGACAGTGAGTTCTAGCCCTGTCCATAGTCATGAAAGCCAGCTTGGTGGCTTTGGGCCAATCACCAGGAGACAGTGAGTTCTAGTCCCACCTTAGGCACGAAAGCCAGCTGGGTGACTAGGCCAATCATTCTCTCTCAGCCCAACCCACCTCACAGAATTGTTGTGGGGAAAATAGGAGGAGGAAGGTGTGTTGGATACATTCACCACCTTGAATTATTTGTAAATATAATCAAGGAGAGACACAAATGTTAAATGAAAAAAAAATAAATGGTGAGAGAACCATTAAACTGAGAATTATCTCTTCCAAGGGAAAGGGTGGGTGTATTGTCGAGACATTTTGCTGGGTGTTTTCAAAGTTCTCTGAATGGCAAGCATCTTCTCTTTCCTTTTCTGTGAGTCTATGCTTTGTTATTCTTCATGTTCTCCTATTAACTCCCACTTGAAATCAACAGGGATTCTGCTCAAATAAGAAAACAGTCAAGATAACCTGAGCTGCCTTAACAAGGAGAAGGCAGGGTTTTTTTTATCCGAAAGGCACTTAGATAAGTTGGAGGGTTCAGCAGTGGCTTCGGGAGACCAAAGAACCACTCCAGATCTCTTCCATTGAGCAATGCATCCCCATCTTCTGGTCACTTTTTCTTCCTCTTCTGTGGGCAGAAGAAACATTAAACTTCTCTGACGGAATAGCCAAGGGCTGTCTGCACTGCCCCAGCTGCAACTGAAGAACCATCCGAAGCAGTTACAGTGACTTTATTACAAAGGAGACAACTGACATTAAATATCTCTCCCTTACTGTAAAACAGTCTTCCTCTATCTGACGTCCTCCAGATGTAGTGGAACTACAATTGCTGGAATCCCCAGGGCCACAGGATTCCTCAATATGAAGAGTATCAGGAGAAGGCTATGGTATATGCCTGTGACGGCGAACCTATAGCATCTGTGCCACAGGTGGCACATGGAGCCATGTTGCCTGGCATGCCAGCTTAGCTCCGGCGCGTGCGCCTTCTGGGCCCACCAGAAGTAGGGAAACAGGCTGTTTCCTGTCTCTGGAGGGCCTGAGGGGTGGGGAAGGCCTGTTTTTCTTTCTCACCTGGCTCCAGATTCTCTCTATGCATCTGGGGAGGGCGAAAACAGCCTTCCCCACACCCTCGGAGGCCCTCCAGAGGCCCGAAATGGCCCGTTTCCCAACTTCCGGGTGGACAGGAAGTGACTTTTTTGCTGTCCCCAGCCTCCAGAGCCTCTATAGGAGAGAGGCCTCTCTCTACCAGGCCATTGCATGCCAGGAGGGAAGGGGGAGTGAGTGGGGTTGCACACGCATGCGCGGGGTGCATAGAATTATGGGTATGAGCATGCGCAAGAACCTCCCCCTCCCCCCTTCCTGGCACGCGATGGCAAAAAGGTTAGCCATCACTGGTATATGCTATTGTTCTGAGCTAGGCTCCCTTAACAAGCAGGAGGCAGGAATTACTGTCAAAACCTCTTTTATTTACACAACTGTGAATTACGGTCATTCACAGTCAGCAAGGTTTGTCCAAACAGTTTCTCAAAGGAATATTGAAAAAGGAATATCTCGTTTGGCAAGCTGCCACATAACTTGTTTCCAACCGCAGCACAAGGCAAAACTTGGCACAGAGTCTCTTAGAGTCACAAACAGAACTTTCCACTCTTGCAACTACCGAACGAACAAATTGTTTCCTGCAAAAGCCCCCTCCCCGTTCACTCCTCTTTCATTTCCTAGGGGAGGGGCCAATCATCTCCAAGGTGTGGCTTTACTCCCGAGTTGACCCTGCTTTCTGAGTTGTTCTTGTCTTCTGGCAGCTCTGCGGATGCACACACTGGGAACGGGCTCCAGCTGTTCCTCTGCCTTCCTGCTGTCTATCTCCCTCTCTGCCTCCAACACAGACCCCTTGTCCGAGCTTTGCCCAGTCCCCAGGACTGGCCCACGTTCCTCCCCAATCTCCTCACTGACCGACTTCTGCCAGCTCCACTGGCCGCCGGTGGGCCACAACAGCTATATTTGTATATGGTTTATTTGGGAGAAAGAGTATTTGCTAACAACATGGACAACAGAACTCTGATGGGATTGTTATCATTGTTCAGTTGCTGTGTCTGATTCTTCACGACCAATGGATCAACCACAGCACACTAGGCCACTGTCCTCCATTGTCTCCCAGAGTTTGACAAATTCATGTTCATTTTGGTGACGCTATCCAACCTCTTCTGCTGCCCCCTTCTTCTTTTGCCTTCCATCTTTTCCAAGGAGTCATTTGCTGGCAAAAATATTTGAGCCAAATATTTAAATAATCAGGGTTGAGTCCTTTTAAAGTGGTGCGGTGGCCTAGAGGTGGAGCTCTTGCCTCACACAATCAGGAGGCTGTGAGTTTGATCCTAGGTAGAGGCAGATATTTCTCTCTCTGGGCACAATGAGAATATATCTGCTGAACAAAAACTCCGCATTGGCAACAGGAAGGGCCAGTAAACACTCAGCTCCATTCAGTTGCCCAGACTTCACCCCGCAAGGAATTATGGGGGTCATTAAAAGAAGAAGATGATGATGATGATGAGGGTTAACTTCCTTTAGGACTATGTCTATGGTGATTCTCAATCACCCTGGTCATGGTTGTTCCAAAGATGCTTTTAGGATTGACGGATCTGATCTCCTTCCAACACCACAATTTGAAAGTATCAATTCTTTAGCACTCAGCCTTCCTTATGGTCCAACTCTCACAGCGATTCGTTACTCGTGGGAAAACCGTAGCTTGGAGTATACGGACCTTTGTCTGCAAGGTGACATCTCTGCTTTTTAGTATGCTGTCTAGGTTTGCCATAGCTTTCCTCCCAAGGAGCAAGACTCTTTTACACATTAATTTAATTTTAATTTCATGGATGCCGTCATTGTCTGCAGTGATCTTGGAGCCCAGCAAAATAAAATCTGTCACGGCTTCCATTTTTCCCCTCCTTCTATTTGCCAGGAAGTGATGGGACCGTACGCCATGATCTTAGTTTTCTTAACGTTGAGTGTGCACTTTCTTCTTTAACTTGCTTCAAGAGGCTCTTTAATTCCTTTTTCACTTTCTGCCATTAGAGTGGTAGATGGTATAGCGATCGGATGAGATGCTTGTTGATCAAATGAACAGCTGTGATCGGATCTTAGATAAGGAAAACACCACTGAAAGCAGAAACAACAGCCAACAGTGACGTTTAATGGCTTTGCAGACAGATAGACCAACTTGGCTGTTTTCCTTCCAAGCATTTATTTAGGGGAAATCCCAGTTATTGTGACAGGACAATATATACTAAAGGGTAGATAAAGCAATAGAAGATTGATGCAGTTTGGTCTATAATTTTTTTATTTAAGTTTGGGCTCAAATCAGTTGCCTTTATGTACGATATTTTAAGACTTTTCTACTCCCTTCCCACGTATAGGTAGTCCTCGCCTTACGACCACAATTGAGCCCAACATTTATGCTGCTAAGTGAGAAATTTGTTAAGTGAGTTTCGCCCCATTTTACCACATTCGTTTAGTGAATCGCTGTAGTTGTTTAGTTAGCAACACGGTTGTTAAGTGAATCTGGCTTCCCCATTGACTTTGCTTGTCAGGAGGTCGCAAAAGAGGATCACATGACCCCGGGACACTGCAACCGTCATAAAGATGAGTCAGTTTTTAAGCATCAGAATTTTGCTCATGTGACTGGGGCGGGGATGCTGCAACGGTTGTAAGTGTGAAAAATGGTCATAAGTCATTTTTTTCAAGTGCCGTTATAACTTGGAATGGTCACTAAATGAACTGTTGTAAGTCAAGGACTACCTCTATATGAAGAATGGTTGCAGGAACTGGGTATGTCTAGTTTAATGAAAAGAAGGACTAGGGGAGACCTGATAGCAGTCTTCCAATATCTCAGGGGCTGCCACAAAGAAGCTATACTCCAAAGCATCTGAAGGCAGGACAAGAAGCAACGGGTGGAAACTAATTAAGGAGAGAAGCAACCTAGAACTAAGGAGAAATTTCCTGACAGTGAGAACAATTAATCAGTGGAACGACTTGCCTCCAGAAATGCTCCAACACTGGAAGTTTTTAAGAAGAAGTTGGATAACCATTTGCCTGAAGTGGTGTAGGGTTTCCTGCCTAAGCAGGGGGTTGGACTAGAAGACCTCCAAGGTCCCTTCCGTTATTCTATTCTATTCTATTCTATTCTATTCTATTCTATTCTATTCTATCCTATCCTTTAAAAAAATCCCACCAGTTGAGGCTGATTGGCAAGCTAGTGAGGAAAAAGCTGGAAAGCCATTTGCAAAATGATTCCTTCTGTTATTGCCCTATTAAGTTTATTAAGGAGAAGAAACCTGATAAAATTAAATCAATTGCTTACTCGGGGTTGAAATGACAGTTCCTTACCTGAATAAATGCCGAAGCCTTTCCCTTTGGAGATTCAGTGAAGCAGTTAGTTAATTTATTTACTCATTTAGATATTAAAAATACCCATCTTCCTTCTCTGAGTTCTATACAAGCACTAAAGGGATACAAGTGGCTTTAATGTGCTCGGCACAATTGAAAACCAGACACCCAGACAACTGGGAAAAATGTGTTAATTTCTCAATGAAAGTATTCTGGATGAAAAGGAAATTGGTTGCCCTGTGATTAGTTTTTGAAAACTGATCTGTATTGAACTGCTGATTATTAAAGGGCAGCTGATCGACAATCTCGCGGCTTCGCTAATGGGGCTGCTTATATCCAAGTACACAAACTGGCAATTAGGCTATCCAATTTGCCGTTGCTGTGATATATACAAGGGGAAAGAAGAGAATTCTCCACCATTAACATTTACAATGGTCCAAGCAAGGGAAATCAAGACAATAATTGTGGGTGTGAGGGATGGGATTTTTTGGATGGGTGGGTGGGGAGGAAGGAAGGAAGGAAGGGTTATTGACAGATATTTCATAAGATTAGAGGACTTGAGGCTGAAACATATGATGAACGGTTGCTGAAAATGGGTATGTCTGGTTTAATGAAAAGAAGGACGAAGGATCTTCAACTTTGTTAATCAGTTGTTCCACTGATTAATGTTCTAACTGTCAGGAAATTCCTCTTTAGTTCTAGGTTGTTTCTCTCCTTGATTAGTTTCCATCTATTGCTTCTTGTCCTGCCTTCAAATCAGGGGTGAAATGCTACCGGTTCGGACCGGTTCGCCTGAACTGGTAGTAATAAATGCTACCGGTTCAGGCGAACCGGTAGTAAAAAAAATGCTACCGGTTTGGCCGAACCAGTATTTCCAATGATCAGCTGTGCCGCGCGATTTATATTCGCTAGAAAGCAGGAAATCCTGCTTTCTAGCGAATCTAAATCACGCGGCACAGCTGTTTCCCCCCTCGCTGTTCTACTTACCTTTGAAGACTCAGAAAAGGCTTCTTAATCCTCCTTTTTCAGTGTTGTGCGGTAGCACCTGTGCGCACTGCGCATTTGGCACTCACCATGCATGCACGAGTGAAGCAAACTGGTAGCAAAGTGAACCGGTAGCAGACTTCAGACCATTTCACCCCTGCTTCAGGTACTTTGGAGAATAGGTTGACCCCTTCTTCCTGGTGGCAGCCCCTTAGATATTGGGATAGGAGATAACACTTCTATCATGTCGCTCTAGTCCTTCTTTTCACTGAACTAAAGGTAAAGGTTCCCCTCGCACATATGTGCTAGTCATTCCCGACTCTAGGGGGCAGTGCTCATCTCTGTTTCAAAGCAGAAGAGTCAGTGCTGTCCGAAGACATCTCCGTGGTCATGTGGCCAGCATGACTAAACGTGAAAGGCGCATGGAACGCTGTTCCCTTCCCACCAAAGGTGGTCCCTGTTTTTCTACTTGCATTTTTTAACTGCCTTTGAACTGCTAGTTTGATAGAAGCTAGGACAAGTAACGGGAACTCACCCCATTACGCGGCACTAGGGATTCGAACCGCTGAACTGCCGACCTTTCAAGCAACAAGCTCAGGGTCTTAGCCACTGAGCCCCCATGTCCCTTCATTGAACTAGACATACCCAATTCCTGTAACCATTCTGCATATCTTTTAGCTTCCAGTCCCCTAATCCTCTTTGTTGCTCTTCTTTGCAGAGCCTGGGGGTGAAATTAAACGAGGAATCAGCCTAGAATCCCTACGTAACCCTACGGACAAGTGAACTAAGTCCAACCTCTTTTGAATTCTGTTGACCCTAAATTAACTCTAACCATCTAACACAGTTAGCTGAGAACATTGCGGTGCATAGGCATGAGTAGCAATAAATCAGTTTAGCTGGATCTTTACCTGTGGACCTGATCTTTCGCTCCTGACAAAAATAACCACAGGAATCAGACTAGAATGATTAAACATGCAACCCTGGGATGACCAATTTATCTCGACTTCTGTTATAGTATTGTACTTAATTTTTTTTTAAGTATCTGAGCAAACAAAATGTTTATTTCCTCCTTAAAAAGAAGACAACATCAGGTGTTTACCTATTAGGATGCCAACGTTTTAGAAACAGCAGAGGAGTTACAATCTTTTTGTAAATTGAAAACATTACTTTGCTTGTCTATTTATTCTGGGAAATGCTTCTGTTTTATTTGGATCTCATCTCTTATGCATTTCATATTTTTGCAAGGAAGCATACAGATAGTCCCTGGCTTTCAACCATTTGTTTACTGACTATTCGAAGCTACAATGGCCCTGGGAAAAAAAGTGACTTATGACCATTTTTCACACTTACGGCCATTGCAGCATCCCCACGTGACAGGATCAAAATTCAGATGCTTGGCAACTGGTTCATATTTATGACAATTAACAGTGTCCCAGGGTCATGTGATCAACTTTTTGTGACCTTCTGACAAGCAAAGTCAATGGGGAAGTCAGATTCACTTGATAACTCTGTTAATAACTTAAGAACTGCAGCAATTCATTTAACAACCGTGCCAAGAAAGATCATAGCGCTCACTTAACAACGCTCTCTCTTAACAACAGACATTTTGGGTCCAATTGTGGCCATAAGTCAAGGACTAGCTTTACAACTCTCCTTGATGTGATCCTAATAAAGTAAAAAAAAAAAAAAACCAGTTATCTTACGTACCCTGATCATTAATACAGCTTTCCTGATGTCTCGAACACCGTCATAAACCAAGCGAGAGGCGTCAATGAACTCGTTCTCTTCAAACGGTTGTGGGACGTTTGCACTCAGGGCCTCAATGGCGACTTCCACTTGTTCAGCAAAACGCGGCATCACTAAATTAAACCAAAGGAAAGGCCGTGAGAATGTAGATTTCCTTGTGTAACATTAGTGCTTCCCCGTGTCTGGAAGATGATGGTGCTGCAGCAAGATTGGGTGGGCAAAGAATTTAACAGATAACATGAGTACAGTAAATTGTGCAAAGTTATGAGGCTTAAAGAACAGTTTCATGGAGAATGCTTTTCAGCTACGAAGGTCTGCTCCATCATGGAGATCTCTCCTTACTCCAGAGCAGGCCATTCAGGGAAGAACTGGAGAGATTTGCAAGATCCAGTGGTTTCTAGCAATCCACCAAGGGAGCAGATTGCTATCAAATCTCTGAGCAATCCACTCAATAACGTGGGTCCTTGGTGCTCTCTAAACTTGGTGGTTTTCTTGTAGATGTTTCATGATCCAACTAGGTAATATAATCAGTCTAGAGGGCAACAAGGTCTACTCTCTGAAGCCCATTCCCTTCTAGCAGCGACGTTACCTAGTTGTGTAATATAATGTCTGTAAAAAACCCCCCACCAAGCTCAAAAAGCACCACGGATACCACACTTCAACCCTGAGCTACAAATATTCTCTTCTAATCAGTTCAATACTGTGTGTTTCTTTCAGGATGGGGACTATCATTTGTATGGATAGTAGTTGTTTGGAGATCTTGGAATGCAGAAGATTGTCTTCTGAAACATTTAACTTGAGGGGTCCTTGGTGCTCTCTGAGCTTGCTTGCTTTTTGCAAATGTTTCGTTACCCTAACTAGGTAACATCATCCCTGTTACTAGTTAGGGTAATGAAACACACTAGCACCGATGAGGTTACCTAGTTAGGATCATGAAACATCTGCAAGACAACAAGCAAGCTCAGAGAGCACCAAGGACCCCTCATGTCAACCCTGAGCTACAAATATTCTCCTTGAACTTGGCATGACTTTAGTTGAACAAACTCAAAAGGCTGTTGAGGACTGAGTTCACAGGTGGGCTTCATATACTGTAGCAACCGATTTGACCAGCACTGAAAATGTGATGCATGTGTGTGGCATCACAAAACATGGCAATTCGCTTGTGTGCGCTGTCCACGCATGCATACAATGTCAAACAACACAACAATTCGCTCTCGCGTGCCGTCCACACATGCGTGTGGCATCAAAAACACAGCGATATAGGACAGGATTGTGCCCAGGCCGGTGGGCGGGCCCCCCTGCAGGTTGCTACTATCAGTTCGTCTGAATCAGTCTGAACCGGCTGAATACCACCTCTGATTGAGTTACTGTAACCTGAATGGATCTTGACGTTTTCATTTTAAGCTTTCCACATCCATTCCTAAAATCTTGCCTTAGCACTAATATGGGCACATATCAGAGGTGGGTTTCAGCAGGTTCTGACCAGTTCTGGAGAACCAGTAGCGGAAATTTTGAGTAGTTCGGAGAACCAGTAAATACCACCTCTGACTGGCCCCGCCCCCATCTATTCTCTGCCTCCCAAGTCCCAGCTGATTGGGAGGAAATGGGCATTTTGCAGTAATCTTCCCCTGGATTGGGGAGGGAATGGAGATTTTACAGTATCCTTCCCCTACCATGCCCACCAGCCATGCCCACCAAGCCATGCCACGCCCACCAAGGCACACTCACAGAACCGGTAGTAAAAAAATGTTGAAACCCACCACTGGCATATATACTCTGAAACCTTATAAATATTCTGCAAGGGGATATTAACCTAAATTCAGTTCCCTCATAAAATTGATGGAAGAAAGAATTTTGTTCTTTGAAAATTGTGAGAAACCAGTTGGAGCGTGCCCTGGGGTTTAAATAATCTACTTGCTTTCATAGTTTTAAGATATTCTGAGTCAGTTCTTGACTCACCAAAGTTATGATTTTTTTTTTAAAGCATGTGCTTCTGGAGGAAAAATTGCATGTGTAGAAATGTGCAATTAAAATGTACTGATGCAAAATTTCCTACTGAGGTTCTCTTTAATCTGAGGATCGGGAAGAAATAGGAATGGAAAGGTTTAAGGTCAAATAGAAGGAGTAACATCACAAACCGCACAAAATCATCGATGCGCTCATCCTTACATTACGAGATATCTGCTATATCACAGTTATCCACAGAGTCAGGTGCAAAGCAAGGATTTTAAAGCTCTTTTGAAAAAAAAAACACACAAATTCAACACACCACCTAAATTAGATTTCACCAACAGCTTCTACCTTCGAATGCTACTGAAATAAAGATTATCAGGAATGGCCGGTGAAGATGATGGAATTTGCAGAGGTGGCTAAATTAACTTCTTTGATTAGAGGGAGAAAAAAACACCCAGTATATTTAGCGCTGATTGGGAACCCCTTGTAGACTGTTTGCATGAAGCAGGGGGAAAAAAATGCAATCATGATTTGTGGTTTTGATGATTTAAAAAAATGGATAATAGGAAAAAGTAAGCTGTTTTGTCATAAAAGAGTAAGGATTAAGGTTAAAAGTACAATATGCACAATTCTTTACTGCAGAAAAAAAAATCAGAAGCTGCTTTTTTCTATTTTTTGTAAATATTTCTAACACTGTATTTTATTTTCTCTTCCTTCCTTTGCTTCTTTTATGCTTTATTAGTTTGTGTTCGTTTTTACTTTCTTGATAAAACTTTTAATAATGCAAGCTCAGAGACACATAAAGAACTGAAAATTATCTTGCGAAAGATTTAAGAGGACGAAGATTTCAGTTCCCAGAATCCCCCATCCAGTGTGGTAGATTTATATGTTCTCCTGCCTCAATTTTTGTTATTTAAATTTAGTAGCTGGAAAAGTAGGGTTGTACGATGAGCAAGAACACACAGATTATAGTTGATTGATTGGAAAGGGCTGGCTCCTGCATGAGGCAATCTGCACTGTGATTGGTTGCTGTAGGTGTGGAGAGGGAGTAACCCTTTTTTCCCGCCTTTTTCTTCTGTAGGCTCTGTATGCTGTTTGATTTACCTCATGATGTTACCGATGTGCCCTGAATGTTCTGAGATACATGCATATATATAAATTATTATAGATATATATACACACATATCAGAGGTGGGTTTCAGCAGGTTCTGACCAGTTCTGGAGAACCGGTAGCGGAAATTTTGAGTAGTTCGGAGAACTGGTAGTAAAAATTCTGACAGGCCCTGCCCCCATTGATTCTCTGCCTCCCAAGTCCCAACTGATTGGGAGGAAATGGGGATTTTGCAGTAACCTTCCCCTGGAGTGAGGTGGGAATGGAGATTTTACAGTATCTTTCCCTTGACACGCCCACCAAGCCTCGCCCACAGAACTGGTAGTAAAAAAATTTGAAACCCACCATTCACACACACACACACACAGCTTATATATTCTTCTGCCTCCGTTTTTATTAAGATATTTAAATTTAGTAGCTGTAGCAGCGGGGTATGTGCTGTGATTGGTTGCTGTGGAGGGGGAGTATCCCTTTTTCCCCGCATTTTTCAACTCTGGGCTCTGTATGCTGTTTGATTTACCTCATGATATTACTGATGTGCCCTGTGTGCTCTATGGTTTACCTCATGATTTACCTCATGCTTGACTATCTTGTCTGCTGCAAATATAGACGTTATGTAGATATATATATATATAAATAAATAAAACTCTACAAGTTTGTGTCAGCGTCTCTCACTTCATTTGGACACTGGCTGCGCAATTTCCTGACAATTTTTCTTTGCAGTAACTGCATAACGTAGGCCAAAACAAGAGAGAGGAATTGGCCCACAGTCATCTTGGAAGCTTCTGTGGTCGAGGATGGACTCCTCTCTGCTCCTAATCCAGTGCCTTCAATAGTACAAAATGCTGATTTTTTTCCCCCCACACACAAGCCATGATATTGCTGGCTATAAATGATTTAAGAGGTTTTTTTTCCCCTTCCAGTGCTAAAATCTGACATCCTAGTTGCCTTCAAGTTCACCGAAAAGCTACCGGTCCCTCAATCCCCAGCTGAGTGTAGAATATGAAAGATGCTAATGGCTTTATGTGAGCAATTTGCAGTATTAATGGCCGAGCCATACATTCATACTTTATGAATCCATGCATAACTGGCACATTCAATATTTATTTCTGCAATACATATATATTATAATATATATTGTACTATATATAGGCCTCGGGATGACTTTTGTAGCCAGCAAAGGCCGGGAGGAAAAAAATCGCAGAGGGCTATTTTGCTGATTTGTATGGCAAACAATTCTTTTGAAATGGAAAATGGGTACACAACTGAGTTAGAACAGTGTGAATTCTTAGTTTTCGCTTGCCTGTGTGTGTCTTATCTTGCAATGTCAGCATGGCTGGGCTCCTGACATACATTCTTTTTTCCCTTTAAATTGTAGCATAGGAGGCACAAGATTGAATGGCCTATCCTCTCCCTGTCTCTGAGCAAAACCCTACTTTTCTGGTGATCCTCTAGATGCAAGTATAGGGCTTGGAAACATGGCCTTAGTCATTGCCTTAATCTAAATCTGAATTATTTAAGAGATGACACAGGATGCACGGAGATCACTGGAACTCCCAGTTGGAAGGGACTTTGGAGATCTTCTACTCCAACCCCTTACTCAAGCAGGAGACCCTATACCCATGATGGTGAACCTATGGCACGCGTGCCGCAGGTGGCACGCAAAGCCCTCTCTGTGGGCATGTCAGCCGTCGCCCCAGCCCAGCTCTACTGTGCATACGTGTGCACCTCCCGACGGCCAGCTGCACAAGGGGGTGCAGGTTGGTGCAGGAGGCTTTCCAGGCCCAAAACAGGGCACGGGGGGGGGGGGGGGCTTTACGCGGTGCCCCCACACCCCATTTTGGCTTCCAGGTTGGTGAAGGAGGCTTTCCAAGCCCAAAGTGGGGGGCAGGGGGCACACGAGTAAGCCTCCTGCACCAACCTGGAAGCCAAAATGGGGCGTGGGGGGGCCGGGGAACATGCACAGGGGAGGGTGGGGCGCATTCCTGGGGTATGTGCGCATGCCCGTGGGATGTGAGCATTTACGGGGATGGGGTGCGGGGGCAGGGC